CACAATAATGGTCAAGTCAGGCATCTGGATAACATAGACTTTAATATAAAAATGAGAACACTACGTACAAGTTGTATGTTAAGTTAAAGTTAAGTGATAGACGATAGATTTTTTCTCATATTTAGAATATACTATCGAAAACAACGTGAACAAAATCGAGGAAAACAACTAGTAAAGTACACAATTCTTAAACAAGTACAAGACGGCCGTGAACTCACGGGGTCTAGGGCGCTGGCAGTGAACACAGAATATTAATTCAAAGAAATGAGCACCGTGTTTTGTTGACCTCCTCTTGACCTATACTATACATTATCAGTAATTTCTCGTTGACAATCCCTAAATTGTCTCCGATAGATAACATTATCTTAATGATGTATGGATCACAGTCTAATAAATTTAAATTTATCAATATTATAGAATATAGATAGTAGTAGGTCAGTCTGTGTATGCCATCCCTTTGTATTAATAATTAACGGTTTTCAAACACATGTTAAAATACAATTTAAAACGACCTTGAAGGGGAAACCAATGTTATATTTATATTCTCCTAACATTGCAAACAAGATTTGTTTTTATTACTGTTACTGTTTCGCGCAACGTCTGAATCAATTATAATAAAACTTTAACATAAGAATACAGTTTTTTCGAGAACATGTCATAATAATTGTATTCTGTATGAAGTCTGAAAAAAATTGTTACAGACAAAGCTTGTGGTTGTTTAAAATCACATCTATAAAATAATTATTACTTCTCATCTGAAATCAAATTAAAATTCTTTGTCAGAATCTAGTAAATATTATAAACTAGCTTTCCGCCCGCAGCTTCGCCCGCGTGGAGTTCGGTTTTAACGCGTTTCCAAGAGAATCTTTCGAAAGTCTGGGATAAAAACTATCCTATGTTCTTTCTCAAGGTCAACTCTATGTCTGTACCAAATTTCATTAAAATCAGTGCAGTGGTTTAGGCGTGAAAGCGTAACAGACAGACAGACAGAGTTACTTTCGCATTTATAATATTAGTAAGGATAATAGTAGCTTTAAACATGAATACTAATTTCTTCTCATATATGTCACACAAACAAAGACCTTGAATTAGGTACCATATTGTCATTTTAGTTTTGATGTTTGAACCGAGTCAAATTATAAATGGTCATATATGACAAATGTATAGAGGTTATCTAAATGTTACCGTCGACAAAACTACTTACTGATAATTGAGAGGGATTTCTACTTGAATATAAAACAACTGTGGATATATTCATCTTGTCAAATAACAGATACAACGATAGAACATGACTACATCTGTTTAAGAGTTTTTTCGAAGTAAAGCCATCCAAACTTAATATTGACTATATTAAACTAAATTGTATACAATCCCTACTAATATTATAAATGCGAAAGTAACTCTGTCTGTCCCTCTGTTACGCTTTCAGGCCTAAACCACTGAACTGATTTTAATGAAATTTGGTACAGAGGTAAAGTCGACCTTGAGAAAGAACATGGGATAGTTTTTATACCAGACTTTTGAAAGGTTCTCATGGAAACGAGATATAACCGAACTACACGCGGGCGAAGCTTGCGGGCTATAATGATATAAATTTAAAACATAGGCAGCTAAATAATTGAGTATTTTTAGGATTTGCCTTGCATTTTTTTATTCTGAGGTTTCGATTAGTTTGTAACCGTGATGATGGCTAGACTAGACAATAATATTAATAAAAATTCTAGTTATATATCATTGCTATGTCCAGATCAGTACATAAATAATATTTAGTATAATTTAAATGTATATAGTCAACTGAACACACAGGAGCCGTTTCCACACCGCTGTCGCCAACTTGAGTAATACAGTATTAAATAACACACCTACCATTGTTCATAGGAATTAATATTATAATAAACTTAATATAACATGTTTATGAAAAATATTTAAATATTTGATGAAATTTAACTTGTTCGTCTTTTGACAATTCAAAACAGCATCTGTATTTAATTCGTCTTTAGAGACGAAACTTCCCATCATTCAATGTATTCACGGTGCGTGTGTCGGGTCCATCGTTGTAGTGAGAGGAGCTTCAACAGTGACTGGGACTTGTGACCCAGGTGTAGGTTTAAGGGGCTAATATACTTAAAATAGTTTTGACTTTTCTAAGTATTGTCTGAGTTTAATAGCCTTAAACAAACAGACCTCAGCTTTTTCTCGCTATTTCCTATGGACCTCTATTACTATTTAATCTAAATATAATATTATTCCTAAATATAATCTAAATGTAATTATATAATATTATTCCTAAGTTTTATAGCCGGATAATATTTTAATATTCAATACTCACAGATACATCTAAACTATAATTATATCAAATAGTAAAAATTAAGCAAAATGTTTACGATAATCTAAAATAACTCTTGGTATACAAATCAACAATCCATAATTAGTTAAATCTTTAATCATTCCTATCATGCTATTTTCATTTATTTAATACGATTGATTAACAAAGTAAATTTATTAACTTAAAGTGTTTTAAAATACACAAGACTTCACTTATATACAGAGATTAAAAATCTATCCTTGTTTCTTATCCATATTTTCAATACAGATGTTTTAACACAATTTCTTTATTCATACGCCACCTAAGAGAGGCGTTTTAATAAATCTCATGTCCATTGAACTGTGACATAAGGACAGACTTAGTGCTAATAAAATCAGGTTCGTATAAGTGTGGGTGATATTTGATAACCCTTGATCAGGTATAGCTCGTTTGAAACGTTGCTTCATGCTTGTTCTGATGTATTGCTTATACAGGGTGACTGGTGAATTACTATCGATACTTGAGGACGTGATATATGACGATCAAATATGACAAAATAAAAATTAATATAACATAAATATTAATAAACTTCTAAGTAAAGTTAACCAAAAGTTATGTAATTAATTACGCATCGTGTGAACACCCTACAGATTAGGTATACACACACACTCACACGTATCAGCACGTGTTGTATCAGCACGCCGCCGCACGCGTCCACACTTGGAACACTTGGAACGTGTACACACTTTATTTATTTATACGGAAATTTGGTCAAAAATTAAGTACCTATTTTTTTTACATAATTCCAATGAGAATCATGTACCGAGTATGCTCCTTAAATATTGATAGTAATTCACCAGTCACCCTGTATACATTTGACTTCACGCTTTTGCTCTATTACAAACGTAAATATAATAATACATATTATAAATTGAAACTAACTATAAAACACTAGTATATCCATTAACAGAACTATTAAGCTCCTTAAGGACATGAGATTAATTAACGTGATCGTAAACAACAGTAGTTTATAGAGGCATCTATAAATATCCAATTATTTCAAGTATACTTCTTAAAATTCATATAAATTCTATTAACATATGATACACATTATTTCCCACAACGTTATTGTACAATCTTTTTATAGACCTCATATAGCCGACAGGAATTTCACCAAAACAAGTACGGGAAAAGCTAAAAGCTAATATAGGAATTTTGTTTTAAACTCTATAAAATGTTTATGAACGAAGTGACACTACAGAATTCGGGACAAAAACTTCTATACCGGATTATTTTAAACTGTGAAGCTTTTTCAAAATGTAGTATTTTTATTTTAAGTAAAGGCGTCATACTTAGAGGTTATACCATCTATAATATTTTCACAAGTTATAACAGATTCTCATTAATAAATCTTTGCGTATAGTACAAACGTGGATTATTGAGTGAGAAACGGGAAACGTTTAGTTTGTATTCTGTACAGTGACAGTTAACTTGTAGTAAGCAATAAGTCTTGCCTTTCTCAAGGATATCGACTGTTTAATGTCAGGAAAATAAATGGTATAGATTCCGTTGTTATTATATATTTCAAAATGATTTAAATGAACTAATATTTTGGAGTTTACTTGGTGTTTTTTTTTATTATTTTAACTAAAATTATCACAGATATGCACATCTCGTCTGCCCGTGATCACGGTTGCTGCAAAGTAACCGAAACGTCGAGAGTACGTAGTTTACAATGATAAGAAACGCGTAGTAATCCGAAAATATTACTCTATTTTTGTTTAAACGAATACTTGCGAAAGTCTTAGATCTCATTTTTTTGAAGATTTTGAACACAGAAATATTTTCTATATATACCTATAGTAAGGCTTCTGAGGTAAGAATATTAAGTTGAAACGAATTTCTGGCCTCTTATTAAAAAATATTTGTTTTGACTCATTACTTATGAAGGTTAAGTTAAAAAGTAATGCTAGCAAACAGTTCCATACAAAATAAATAATTAACAGATGATCTATATTGTTACTAGATTCAGGTTATGCTAAAAATTGTTTCCATTAGTTTGTAAGTAAATTAAAACTAAATAATTATAATAATTGCAATTTTTTTCAGTTATATTCAGTTATTTTTATTTTAGTGACTATTATAAAAGTGTAAGTGTATATTCAGTTGAGTCTCCAAAATTATTTTTACAATATTTATTGTTGAAATTCAATCAACACTAAATTTACAAGAACTGTTCATAACACATTGTAATGTAAATTTATATTATATGTAAGAAAATTTGCAAAGTCATTTCATCCTGCGAAATCGTTTAAATGATATCGATTGAACTTTACACTAATGTAGCTTAGACATTGGAATATCATTAACGATATTTTTTTAAATTTCCACGTAGTTTCTGGGAAGTCACGGCATGAAAGTTGTATTGAGTTTGAAGTCCTGTACCATTGAATATAGAAATCGCAGGCTATTCAATAATAAATATATCTACACTATTACTCTAGCACCTCTAGACCTACATTAATTTCACATAGCTGAGAAATATCGAAACCCGGTTCAATTTAAAATAACTCCACAGAGATTTGCTGCTCCTTTTAAGATATATGTCGACACCTACACACAGACACATCAAACTCACAACATTTCTCTTTAATACAGGTAAAATGTCTTAATTATTAATGTATGTGTGTATCAGGTATTCCGGGCGAGGGCATACCCGCGGAGGCCGGGGCTCGTTTGACCTGTGACCCGACCCAGTGGGCCTGTGCTGACGGCTCACGATGCGTGCCCGCCTCCTGGCGCTGTGACACACGACCACACTGTCCAGACGCATCCGATGAAATCGACTGCGGTAGGAAACAACCACTAACTTAAATAAAGATGATATTATTTGGATTACTATGTACGTGAAGTAATCCAAATAAAATTAGTTTCATTTAAAGGAATACTCGTGAAAGTCTTGGTTTCATATGAATAAAACTAAGATTTTGGATGGTACTACGGGTTTATTATTATTTTACAGCAACCGTGATCACGGACAGACGAGATGTGTTTTTTTTTTCATTTCGTCTCATTTTTTTACCTCGGGAGTATGTAATTTTATAATAATAAAAAATCTGATAATGAATGAATACTTTCGAATATTTTAATTATCATTAAACTTATATTAAAAATTATATTTGATACTAGAAGACCTGGCGAACTTCGTATCGCTCTATAATTAAGAAATATCTATTACGTTTTTTTATTTATATTTTTGGAGTTTACCTGTAAGCCATATATCTCCGTGTTTTGAAGTGCGACAGAATGATTGACATATTAGTTAGTTGTCAAATCTAATGTCAAAAAAAAACGTTTGTATGGTAAATAGAAAAGGGCTGTTTTTATGGTTTCCCAGTAATGAATCAATTTTTTTCAGCTTTTATACCTTCCCTGAACCTCCACGAACATTTCAAGACTAAGATAAGATAAATCCATTCAGCTGTTCCCGAGTTTTAGCGAGACTAAGGAACAGCAATCCATTTTTATATATATATATAGATAGAAGATTACTTCAATAACCAAATGTACTGCATAAAAGAAAGGTCTCATTTCAAAAACGATGCATCTTTCATAGAAGCAGATTAGCGGTTGTACATACATTATGTTCTTTCGTTATGTAAAGCAAGTAGACTGTTCATTTGATATACCTGGTATTGTAAAAGTAACTCGAATTTGAATTATTTTCTTCTGAACTTTTGTATAAACCCACGCTAACTATCAGAGCACATAGCATCCCACATGCAAGATGCATCCAACCAATGTAGAAATCAATTTTACAGCGAAGACTGTAGTTTTAAAACCATTTACATAGCACATTCTAATTAAATACTCCTGAAATACCTATTTAATCTTCTATCTTCTTCTATCTTCTATATATATGAAAATGGATTGCTGTTCCTTAGTCTCGCTAAAACTCGAGAACAGCTCAACGGATTTATCTTATCTTAGTCTTGAAATGTTCGTGGAGGTTCAGGGAAGGTTTAAAAGCTGAATTTTTTTTATTAATTTCCGGGAAAACCCTAAAACAGCGCTTTTCTATTTCCCATACAAACGGTTTTTTGACATTAGATTTGACAACTAACTAATATGTCAATCATTCTGTTCGATTGAAACAGGAGAAACCTGATTATTAATGGCCTCTAAAACGGAATAGAGTTCTCCCGGTCAGCTATACATATATTACTTATGACGAAACTAACGCGGAGGAAGTCGCGGGCAAAAACTATGTAGTTATATATAAAAAGCTTGGGTCACTATAAATCTGATAATTTTTCAAGGTCATTTATTTTGGTATTGTTCTACCTCAAGCTTTCTATTCAGTAACCTACAACCTATATATGTTTGTCGTTATGTTTCCTCAGTGTGGAACACAACGTGCGGAGCTGGTCAGTTCCGTTGTGTGGGCAGCGGTCTGTGTGTGGCGGCCAGCTGGCGGTGTGACGGCGACCCGGACTGTGGACCTCGCGACTCCTCAGACGAAGATCCTTATATGTGTTAATATCTTATCAATCGAGTTTATTACATACATCCTCTTGGAAGTTCCAATCCTATCTTCATTGCTATAATAGAAAAGAAGTATTCCAAAATAGTACCGAATTTGGAATATTAAGTCTATATAAGTATATTATTGTTTTTATTAATATTCAAATATAATTAATACTCTATCGACATTAACAGAATTACACTTACTTAGTTGGGATGTCTTTACAAATTAACTAGAGGGTCCAAATCGATTAGAACAATATTTACCACAAATAATGCAAAAAATTCTTAAGTCCATGATGGAGTTCACGTATAAGTTGTTTCCATTGATCATTGGTACCTGATCCAAAAAACAATATTCAGTCAATGTTACGGTTCATGTATGTAGGATTCCTGGTCCTACATGTAAGTATAACTAGTCCCTGTCTCACTACTACCCCGCCTAGAGCGACGCACGTCACCATTCTGCTCCGCGCTAGTCATTAGACTGCCGAGCGCATACCGCCTCCTCTAGTGGGGTACGTGAGACAGTGTATTATATCTATATAATAGATACATACACTACAATGTATAAGTGGTTTCCATAGATCGTTGTTACTTCTTCCAGGTGAGAAAGACTTCAAGTGTCCAGGAGGCCAAGCTCGCTGTGCCACAGCTGAGCGAGGTCAGTTCTCGTGCGTGGCTGTGGCGCACTTCTGTGATGGCATACGACACTGTACTGACGGCTCCGACGAGTGGGATATATGTGATAACTGTGAGTTTGATAGTTTATACCATCACATGGAGAGTGTAGACTAATATTAAGGTAGATGATAGGATAGTCATGGTAATGACTTCCGATTAATCAGTAAAATAATGATAATTATGGTGTTTCCAATACATATATAATCCACATTAAAAAAAAATTATTAAAATATTATAGAGGACATTGGAGAGTAAAATAATAATATAAATATTGTATATATGTAAATTTACGTTCCAAAAGAAAATTAATGGTCCAATTCCATCGTTTCTGTGGATGCTTACCTAAATTGATAAATACAAGAATGTAACTTATAAATATATGTATGTCCGTCTGTATCGAAAGCGGTCACGATAGCCTGGACGCTTTCAATACCAGGGTTATAAATCGATCTTCGCTGACCTCGCTGACTTAACAACATACAAACACACATATATATATATCATTAATACTATGTGTCACCTGTTTCAGTCACTGACGCGTCATGTGCAACCCTGGGCTGTCCCTGTCGCCCTACACATGAGGGTTACAAGTGTTCCTGTGCGCCAGGGTACGAACACAACGGACGGACGTGTGTCGGTATGTTAACACTTACCATCACTCATCATCACTCATCATCACTTACCATCACTGATTATTCACTATCTTTAACATATTGGAGCTGGTGGTGATGAAAAAATATTTGACTAAAATAAATAGGTAGGCGTTAAGTTTGTAACGCAACCTTGTTAAATTGCATAAGAAGTTTCACTTCAAAAATGTTTTATAAACTTGGTAGTCTCAATCATATTACTTATAATATAGTTTTGAAGTCAAAGTGATTATATGTTCAAAATAAACAAATATATTATACATAATATATAAATACAATTAATTACAATTAGAGATGTTGTATTGACTGTCCCTGGTTCGATTCCGGCAGCTCAAAGATATGTTTATAACAAACATTAGCTTATAGGAGTGTTCTTCGAAGCTAATATTATCTGTATAATAAAGGTGTATGTGTGTATGTTCCAGACAGCGATGAGTGTTCGTGGGAAGGCACATGTTCTCAGCGCTGCCGCAACACCGCGGGGTCTTACGAGTGTTCGTGTGTGACGGGCTACGCTCTAAACGCTGATAACAGTTCTTGTGATCCTGGTATATGTTTCTCTTTCTTAGTCATATATACGATTAATTAAATTGCAAATTGAAAACATACAATGAAAAAATTCATTTACATGACCAGGATTGGAACCTGCTACTTTCAGTACATCACATGCCAATGGCTATACTATTTGAGCTATTGTGTATTCCCTCAATTTAATGATTTAAACATGTTATATTTTCTATTTGAATTCAATTCAAGTGTTAGATCAAAACTTACTTATTGTTTCTAATTATTATTTACATAACTTATTTTTTTATAACATCTGTATATAAATTTTTGTGTGGTAATTTTTTGTGTTATATGTAAGTCACTTTCCCTATACTTTTCATTAAGAAAAATATCTTTCAAATATTGTTTAAAGGTTAAATCCACGTATCTATTTCTTGAAGTAAAAAAATATCACAATAATAAAATGTAAAGGAGCTTTAAACTCAACTCTATGTATTGTAAGGACGGGTCTTAGTAAATAAAGCATCTAGCTTTAGGTTTGAAGATAAGTTTATTACTGCTCCTCAATACTAGGTGTCATCTGCTTATATACTACACTACAGTATAGAACTACAAGTATACCTTCTCATTCATATTATTCAGATCCATCATCATCACCTCCGTCGCTGATGATCGCCAGTCAGTCAGGAGTACTCCGTCAGTCCCTACAATCTGCTAGCTCCGCCACTCGGCCAGCCCTGGCCGTGAGGGCTTTGGACATGCTGTATAGGAACAGGTATTTATAACACTGTGTCAGGCAAAAATATACTCTAATTCAACTATAGATATGAGTCATTTTGCCATTTAAGGAGTTTTAACCCTGCCTTAAGCAAAAATGGAATCTAATTAGGGATAAATATGAGTCATTTGGCAATTTAAAAGATCCTTGATTGATTTTTACTTAAAATTTCATCATAATCTCAGAATATCATCAAATCATTCTTATGAATTCTGATTCAGCCTTATAGAATCAATACCCTCAATATCTAACTATAATTGCTATATATCTATACATGAGCTAAATAATCAAGTTTTCCATATAAATATCATATTTAATCTTGTATATATGTATAGTTATCATATATCATGTATGTAGGTCGGTGTGTTATATCCACAACAACATGAGCCGCTCTTCCCTGGTGTGTGTGGATGCTGAGGACTTCTCGAAGGTCACAGTGCTGCCTCAACCGCAATTATTTCCCGACCTGGACTGTGAGTAACGATAGAATAAAATATGCTGAACACATTACTATATAGAATATTATTTTGGTCTTTATTATTGACTAGTTGCGCCCCGCGGTGTTACCCGCGGATTTCTGGGATGTAAAGTAGCCTATGTGTTATTCCTGGACGTCAGCTTCCTCTATACAAAATTTTATCAAAATCGATTCAGCCGTTTGAGCGTGAAGAAGTAACAAACATACACACACTCGCATAAACTTTCGCAATTATAATATAAGTAGGATTTATACTTGTATTTGAACATATAAAGGTATTTTTCCATGTATATTTTCCTTGATTTTGGGCTAATTTTCATATATATTTTTTACTTTATTGTAGATACATTCTCGACTCACTGATCAGTTCTCATCAATATCTTGAACTATTCTGAATATGTAACACTACTATTATAATTTTGTGTTTACTTCTTGCATTTTACAAGACAAAATTGTAGTATTGAATTTAAATGGTATTTCCATGTGTATGTATGTATGTGTATTACACAGCCGTATCCCACCTATGTATCGACTGGTTATCCCTCAACTGGTACGTGTCGGACGAGGCCCGCGAGGCCCTGTACGTGTGTGAGCCGGGCCTGCGCTACTGCCGAGTGCTACGGGACTCCGGCCTGTCCAAACTACGAGGCCTGGCCATTGACCCCGCCGCAGGGTAAATACACCATGACTTATATAATATTAATACCTTAAAAGCAAATATTTAAGTGTTATTTATGCAAGTATGTATGTTATTGCCCTTTTACATAAAAAATTAGTTATGGGATTTGGATACAATTTTATAGTAAATGTATCTTAGATATCATAAGAAGTTTAGTTTCGAATTTATATGACACAGTATTTCAGTGTCTCTGATCGTTAATTGACAAAATATCAATCGTTTTAAAAATCTTCTACATTTCTCTCTAATCCTAATACGAAGTCCACGTGTAGTAGCGGGTAAAAACTAATACGATAATATGTTACTAAAAGATATAAGTTTGGTTTAATATTTTGTTTAAGTCTGTAATACTTAAAAAAATTTCATATCAGCTACCTTATACATATATGAAGAGTTATAACATGAACTGGGCATTATTTACTTATGATATTTACTAACTGTTCCAGTCTAATGTTCTGGAGCGTGTGGGGGGCGGCGGCGCCGGGCGTGATGTCAGCCTCCCTGTCAGCGGGGGGCGCACGCTCCTTAGCCGACACCCGGCTGGTGTACCCCGCGGCCCTTACCGCTGACCTGGCGGCCCGACATCTGTACTGGGCGGATGCTTACCTCGACTGTGTACAGAGAATTAACTATGACGGCTCACATAGGATCACCGTGAGGAAGGGATATGTGGTCGGTACACATGCTTGATTGAAGAACCACAGATTAGAATAACCACAGATAAAAGATATAAAACCACAGATTAGAAAAATGACAAAAAAATGTCTTAGGATGGACATGTTTTCATTAATATTATTAATGAAATACAAAACCAATACGAAAATATTATAATCAATATGAAAGTAAAAAAGCTCTTTTTATAATAAATTTGATCATACATAATATATCTTTTAATAAGACATTTTAGATTCAAGCGATTACACATTTATATTGGATCTGTGTTTTTCAGATACTTGCATGTATTATTTTATACTTTGTCCATTTCAATCACTTAACAGTATCACATCAGAATAAAAAGAATATAATTTAAATGAAAAACTAATTAATGTGTTTCATGCTCATGAAGAATTCTCATCAAATTAGTAATATTCTCTGTTAATAATATTGTTTTATTATAATCTTCAGAGTCAGAAGCTGCAAGGCATGTCAGTACTGGGTAGTCGTCTCTACCTGCCTGTGTGGAGTAACAGTTCGGTGGCTGTTGTGTCCCTCGCGAGGGTACACCGACATTCTTCATACATGCAACTACCTTCCAGACCTACCGCCGTACTTGTATATCATCCACAGAGACAACCACCTCGTTAGTATAACACTGACACTTGTACAACATATAATCTTCTTCTTCTATATATATAAAAATGGAATGCTATTCCTTTGTCTCGCTAAAACTCGAGAACAGCTGAACGGATTTATCTTATCTTAGTCTTGAAATGTTCGTGGAGCTTCAGGGAAGGTGTAAAAAAAAATTGATTCATTACTAGGAAAACCATAAAAACAGCCCTTTTCTATTTCCCATACAAACGTTTTTTTTGACATTAGATTTGACAACTAACTAATATGTCAATCATTGTGTCGCACTTCAAAACACGGAGATTTATGGCTTAAAGGTAAACTCCAAAAATATAACTAAAAAAACGTAATAGATATTTCTTGATTAAAGGGCGATACGAAGTTCGCCAGGTCTTCTAGTATGTGATAACATAAGTATTCAAAGTATTATTACTATACCATTACATTGTGTAATTAAATTCCTTTTAAATTAGTTTGACGTCAGTGGAGTAACTACACTGTTCGTAGCAAAAGTCATCGTATGGGCCCCTGTGTTCAACCCTCTCATTCTAAAAAAGCTGAACGTTCAATATTAGTATTTTTTATTTTATTTATACACTTTTATTTCTAAGAGTTTACTAATCATAACTGGAGGAAGCTTTTACCTTTAGAGGGATTCTTACAGAATAACCTCATTATCTTTTTGAAATAATTTTAGTAGTTGAAGTTCCAGTTTCATATTTCTTAATTACACGGTAATGGCAAAGTTCACACAATTGATCTCTCTTAGAAATATCTTGAGTAGTAACGTATAAAATGGTGCGGTTTCTATTTCATTTACCAAAGCATTTTCCACTATTAGGACCAGAACAGCAATGAGCTCATTTTGTTTTTTTGGACTTCAGTATTTAATCTGGTCCTTAGGTTTGCTTAGCAACTCTTGCAATATAGTATCATATTTGACTAATAACTCAATAATACTAAAAAAAAAATCCTTTTTGACCAGAACCGTATACCATTTCTCTATAGCCACGAAAAGTTAAATTACAGGTTGATAGAATCACATCAAGAAGTCTAGTTAGAACCTGGCGCCAAAAATTGTTTTTCTTTTGCAAATGGACTATTGCTCTTTATCTAGATGTCCATATACACTATCGATGTACAAAACATTAATGCAAATGATCTGTAGTTACGCCACTGTTTGTCGTTGTGTTATATTTCCAGTATCTCATCCATGCTCCAATAACCGTGGCGGCTGTTCCCACATCTGCATCACCTCGTACCGCGCGGACGGAACACCTCACGCCCTGTGTGTGTGTGCACATGGATACAGGCTCACGGGACACGGCGACTGCGAACGTATGTATATACACACACTCACGCACACACAGGCATGCGCACGCGCATCTTTAACTTGTTGAACGACTATGAGATATGCAAGTAATTAGAATGATCTCTGTGTGTACAATATGATATAAGACGTCAAGAATCTCATCTCGATTGTCTTTACAGGAAATTATTTGAATTAACCTCATTAATTTAAATCAGGCGTAGAGGTGGAGAGTTACCTGGTCGTATCTCGCGGGTCGCCGCCCCAGGTGAGTGGCATCCCGCTTGTAGGCGAGGGCGCGCGACCGGGGACGGGGGCGAAGCCCGACGTGCAAGATTGGGAGCCGTTCGTGCCCGCCACACACGCCGCGCGACCCACCGCCGCTGACGTTGACTTGGCGGAACAAAAACTGTACTACTGTGATGTACACAGGTAGGAAAATATACAGGGTGACTGGTGAATTACTATCGATATTTGAGGCCGTGATATTTGACGATCATATATGACAAAATAAAAATTAATATAACATAAATATTAATAAACTTCTAAGTAAAGTTAACCAAAAGTTATGTAATTAATTACGCATCGTATGAACACCCTACAGATTAGGTATACACACACACACACAAACTCGCGCGCGGCGGCGTGTTGTTGTATCAGCACGCCGCCGCACGCGTCCACACTTGGAACACTTGAAACGTGTACACACTTTATTTATTTATACGGAAATTTTGTCAAAAATTAAGTACCTATTTTTTTTACATAATTCGAATGAGAATCATGTACAGAGTATGCTCCTTAAATATTGATAGTAATTCACCAATAACCCTGTATAGCTGTTAATGATTTCACTAAAGGTTTTATCTATCTTACTATATTTAAATCTTTGTTATGTGAAATCTAAAATTATCTTCTTACCAAATTCAAAAATCATATTTAGTTCCTCCTAGGACGTTGTTAGGAGTACCAATGACATGTAGTACTATTATTAATAAGTTATATTAATAGTAATGTAATGTTTTCAGATACGAGATCGTCCGTCAGAACCTGGACGGCTCGGGGCGGGAGGTGTTCGTGGGAGACGACGTTGACAACTGTGAGGGACTCGCGATAGACTGGATGGGTACTGACGCAACCATATATATAATAAATATATAATATAAGGATAAGGTTTCATTCGTATTAGAAATGTGTAATAGGTTGCCAATATCAACGTTTATGTTTTATGAACGAGAATTTTTTTTATAGAAATTATACGCTGATGTTTCCCAGTAACGCTGTGAAATCAATGATGCTAATAATAATGAGTCAAGTTAAAAAAACTACGATTTGACTGAACTGAAGCCTATATGTTAAAAGGAAAGTTTTATATTTATATTGATGTGTATTGTAGGAGGCAACTTGTACTGGACGGACGACGCTCTCGGTCAGTTGAATGTGGCCAGGATGTCGGGCGAGGCGCGAGGAGCGCGGCTGGTGCTCATGAGGGAGGTGGCCGCTCACCCGCGGGCCATCACACTCGACCCTGCTAATGGGTACGATGTACTAACATACTTGATAGAGAAAACACATTATAAGTTTGAAATCACCAAGGGAGCGTTCAAGTATTACGTAACGCAATTTTCGAAGATTTTTGATCCCCTTTCCCCCCTCGTAACGCAATAACGTTTTTCGTAGCCCCCCACCCCTTATCAAAACGTTATTTAACACTCAAGTGACCAATTCAAAGTGATCATCCAAACTCGTAAAACAATATGTAATAATTTGGTATAGTTTTAATCTATTAAATGAAAAAAGATCATTGACACAAATCTCACTCTTCTGAAAAAATTACAGTGTAAACGCTATGAACTCATGGATAAACACTAACGAATACTGACCACGGAAGCAACATTAAAAGACTTACAATGCAATCTAGATATTCCCAGTAAAATATCAATTAAGAGGTTTGCAAACTTGGAATAACAAATAAAAATATCGACCAGACTAATACAATCTGGTCAACATAATGTAACGTATATGAAAAGAGTTGCCAGTTTGGGGGTTTTTATTAATATTTTTTTTTAGAAACAATGCTACGTAACGTTTTGTAAGAGACACCCCCTCCCGCCCCTGTAACGCATCGTAACGTTTTACGAGACCCCCCCCCTCCCCCAAAATTACGTAATACTTGAATGCTCTCCAACGCGTCCTGAGCAAGCGTGGTGAGTAATGTTCTAACCTTCTCCATTTGAGAAGAGGCCTTTGCTCAGCAATGGACTCAAATAGACTGATGATGATGATAGCTAAAACACATTCCGCATATATTAAAAATGATGAGGCAAAAGAATCTGTAGATTTAACCATTATTTGTTATTAAGATAGTTCATGGTGTCTTCACTATTGATGAATGTTTTTGACCTTAATTACATAAAACTGTAATATAATCTAAACATTTTCATATTATTTTATATGATATGATATTAATGATAGTATATGTCATATCCAGCGTGATGTACTGGTCGGAGTGGTGGAGCGCGGGTCCCTCAGGAGGGCGCATCCTCTCGGGCTCCATGGACGGCTCGGGGCGCCGCCCCCTCATCACGGACGACCTCCGCTGGCCGGCGGGACTCGTGCTGGACTACCCACATATGACACTATACTGGTCAGTATTAACAATATCTGGTTACCAAGCTTTGGTTGGTATTTAGGAATTATTAGAATTTATTTTGTGTTTTTTTATTTCGTTTAGGCATTTTTAAGTGAACACGTTAAGAAGACATAAAACAATATAAATCAACAATTAATTTCTTTGTCTAATATCAAAACAAACACTCATTGACTTCCTGGTACTTAACAACGTCATCTGCTGTTGAGTCGTTAAAGCAATTAGTAAAAAGAAGTATTACTATTCGCCGATAGATGTCAGGAAGAGTCATATTTAAACGACTCGTTTGTATTATTTTGTTTAATATAAAATAACATTTCTGAAAATGATTCCCAGCTAGATAGATTTATCCTTGGAGCCGATTTCGTGATTCCATAACTATATATATTGCTCATTTAAAGATATAAGATAAGATTACTTACCTTATTAACGAAATATTACCCTTTATTTGTATTGTAATCCTTTGTTAAATATTTTATATGTATACTCGTATATCCAGGTGTGACACGTATTTGAACAAGTTGGAGCGTGTGCGAGTGACGTCATCGGGGGAGAAGGCCCCGGGCGCCGTGAGGGAGCTGGTGGCAGCTCACACCGACCGTCTGAACATACTGAAGCCCTACGGCCTTGCGCTGTATGAAGGTGACCGAATAAATATAATACACCTTATGTTACTCATATTTAGTTTGAATTTCGAAAAAATAAATAATGTGGTAGTTATAGATAATATTTTCACAATCAATCTCTTTAAGTTATAAAACCTCTCAGACTTTAGCGAGTATTCGTTTGAATGAAATTAATATTTTTCGAATTTCTTCGTTTATTTTATTATTCACGGTTGCTCAAAATAACTGAAACGCCGTGAGTATGCAGTTTTCTTGACATAATAAAATACGCGTATTAAATCGCAAAATATTCGTTTCTGTTTAAGTGATATACGAAATTTTATAGAAATAAAAAAAAACTAACTGGTATTATTGCTGCCTTAGAACAAAAGTTACTTGGTAAAGTCAAAAGTACTTAACTAATAAGATGCTAATCTTATTTGTGCTATTTCGAGCGGATTTGTTCAGCAATTATAATCATTACAATTTAGTGATCGTTTTTTATTTTTGTTAATTAATTTATTATACTAACATAGGAGATAAATAATATGTATCACTAACAATAAAATGAGTCATGGTCACTTGAAATAAAAAGTTATTATTATTATTATTATTTATTAAGTGTTTGGTATCATAATTATATTTATTATGTTCCCAGACTGGTTAATATGGAGCGAGCATGGCACGGGCCTGGTCCGTCGTCTGCAGGTCCACAACACGTCCCTGGTGCAGACCTTGAGGGCCTTCCCTCCGCCGCTGTACGACATACGACTGGTCACCGCCGCAGCCAGGACCGGTACGCACTAACATACATTATTATTATTATATTTAATACATTATACTAAGTTTATTTTAAATTTATGGACGTCTTATATCTCATACTAGTAAACCCGGCGAACTCCGTTTCGCCACCAGAAGGCTTTTATATAACATTTCGTTTGGTGATTAAAAGATGAAGATTTTTTTTGTTTGATATTTGAAAAGGAAAATTTTTATATCATTTCACAACAGTAATGAATTCATTTCGATTACAAAAATGAAGTATTATTTAGTTGAACTTCTCTAAGTAAATGAAAGTGAATCCAAAGCAGACACCGAATCGAAGCGTTATACATACGTGTCCACAAATTAAAGTAGATTTCTTACAAATATCAAATTGTCATTCATTCATTATTACATATCTGTCATTATACGTCCATTGCATAGCTGTCAATTGTGTTTCGTTATTTCACGTTTTTCACGTGACTGACGTTTCATGTCAAGTCCCACGGGAATGCTGTGGAACGGGATAAAAAGTATCCTATTGCAATTTCCTGGCTCTAACCTACCTTTCTGCCAATTTTCAGCTAAATCGGTTCAGCCGTTCTTGAGTTATAAGTGGAGTAACTAACACGACTTCCTTTTATATATATAGATTAGATTTTGCTAGTATATGTAAGATTTTAATAATTTTATTTGACACGATAGGAGCAAACAAATATGGTTTTAGAATTAAAAACGTACATATTTTTTTGATATTGGTATGTCATTCGTTAAATATGTCTTCTGTACAAATAAATTGTGAAATAATATCATAATTATGTCAATATAAAGTAGATAATGTGAATTATTCAAGGCAAACGAATTGTTGCGACAGTCAATTAATATTGATATTTACAAACAAAATATCACTTAAAATTTGTAGAAGAGCCCCTTAATATTGTAGTTACAACAATTAAATCAAATCTAAATTTGCTGAGGTTATACATATAATAATGACTAAGTGTATATTTCAGGTAAAAACGCGTGTTCTTTCAACAACGGTGGTTGTGCTGAGTTGTGCCTGGCCACTGCGGGAGGGGGGCGGCGGTGTGCGTGCGGGGAGGGGAGGAAGGGTGGGGGGTGCGGGGTCAATGACACCGGGACCTCGCTCTGTGGACAAGGCAGCTACGACTGTGGACACGGGTATACAACACACACACATATAATCCCTTCTAATATTAAAAATGTGGAAGTAACTCTGTCTGTCTGTCTGTTACGCTTTCACGCCCAAACCACTGAACTGATATTAAGGAAATTTGGTACAGAGATAGAGTTGACCTTGAGAAAGAACATAGGATAGTTTTTATCCCAGACTTTTGAAAGGTTCTCTTGGAAACGCGATATAACCGAACTCCATGCGGGCGAAGCTGCGGGCGGAAAGCTAGTTATGAATATAACTTAGTGTAATAAACTAGTATCTGATTTAAATAACTCAATGTTTAGAGTATAGTGTCTGACCAATGATATTATAAGTGTGAAGTTTTTGTATGTGACGTTGAGCTTATATGTTGAAAAGTTTATTTGACTTTTTGTATAATATAATCTATTCAGTGATTGAGTCTCTTTGTTATATAGGGTGTTCACAGATATTATTGTAAAATATTTCTAAGCATGGAGTAAAATGGTTTGCTGTACTGCCTTCATATAATATAAAATACGAGTTGGTAGTCTGTTAAAATATTGTCTTGAAAATCTATATATAAAACTTTATTAACATAGATACAAAACATCGAAAACGATTTTACGTTATGTATATTAATTGTTTTACCCTCATAGCCAGAGCTGTCTCCTTTTGACTGCACACAAGTTTTATATCAATTATATTCATTTTCTTTATTTTTGTAATGATGTGTTTATATACTTTTTTGTATAATTTTGTTTTTTTCTTTGTATGTCAATAAATGTCTTTTCTTTCTCTCTTTCTATATAACTTATAATATTTAATATATCATAATATTCTGTTACAGTCGCTGTATCAATGCGAGCTTGGTGTGTGATGGTGACAAGGACTGTCCCAACGGGAGTGATGAAGACGCCTCCGCCAACGGACCCTGCGGTAAACACTCGATTTTAGTTAACAACCGAATATGATAACATACCCTTTAATTTAACTACATATATATTTATTATTCTTACAAAATCATTAAAAAATATAAGTTTTCTTATAAACTAATAACTAATGATTATCTTAAACCAAAACACCTTAAATAAGTTAAATTCAATTTATAAACACAAGTCGTGTTGACAAAATACTTTCCCGCGTAAAAGTGAACAAATCAAACGTCATCGCTTTAACGTCACTTCGGGTGCGTTCGGAAATTTAAAGGTTCGGTTCAAATTAAATGTGTGTTCCCTAAATATATATATATGTACATATATATAATGTGTATGTGTGTGTTAATATTAATTGAATTCTCCTGACAGCAAACGTGACGTGCGTGGACGATCAGTTCATGCGGTGTGACACCAACCGCTGTATACCGAAGAGTTGGGCGTGCGACGGAGTTAAAGGTGTGTACATGTGACGTATTCTGTGACGTCATAAGGTCTGGACCGTACGGGGAGAGAAACACAGATAGTATTATTGCTACTATTGGTATTCATCAAATAAGAGATAATTAGGACTCTGCCTTATTTCATGTTAGATTATTACTATTAACAAATTATGACGAGCAGAGAGCCTATTAGATGGAAAAACATTTCGATTGTTGAGTCAGCCTATAAGTGGGGTGTGCACTGTACAATTAATAAAATTAACAACTTAACAAATTATGTTATTTAGACTAAGATGTAAAATTGTATACAATGTTGGGTTCTTATATTTAAATAAATATAAACTACTTTGAGTTGTGTAATATCAGAAGTTTTGATTATATTACTAGTAATTGTGTGTGTTGTACAGACTGTGCGGACGGTGAAGATGAGTCGTCGTCGTGGTGTAAGGCAGCGGCGTGCGGCCCAGCACAATGGGCCTGCGTACACTCGCATCGCTGCATCCCGGCCGCCTGGCGCTGTGACGGCTCCGCGGACTGTGGTCCCGGGGACCGCTCCGACGAGACCGACTGTGCAGCCCCGGACTGCGCGACCGGCTCCTTCCGCTGCGGACCCGGCGCCTGCGTGCCCTGGGAGTACGTGTGCGACGGACACGCTGACTGCAAGGACGCGGCTGACGAGCGAGCGTGTCCCGCAACGCCGGCCCCGCCCCTACCTTCTGACACGCCTCCCAAAGGATACAAGTATACTTACATCCTTACCAATATTATAAATGCGAAAGTAACTCGGTCTGTTACGCTTTCACGCCTTAACCACTGAACTGATTTTAATGAAATTTGGTACAGACATAGAGTTGACCTTGAGAAAGAATATAGGATAGTTTTTATCCCAGAATTTTGAAAGGTTCTCTTTAAACGCGATATAACCGAACTTCACGCGGGCGGAAAGCTAGTATATTATATTTTATGAAAATCTAAATGTGGTACCAATTCAAATCTCCATTTTATATCAGATAATGTTCCTTCAGCTCTCTGAGTTATCATGAATTTTAATTTTAACGATAGATTTAATTTTATATCTCATAACGTCATATTACCATTATGTATTATTGTTTAGTCACCATCAAAACAACGAGAAGCACGGCCTGTGTGAGGAACATGAATTTCAGTGTAACAACAGAGAGTGTATACGACAGGTTAGAAAATCAAATATAGTGAAATATATAAATTTAAACATATAAAACAATATTAATATTAATGATATTATTATAGGAATTCCGTTGTGATTCGAGAGTCGATTGTCTCGACGGGTCAGACGAGCAGGGCTGCACGTCGATACATAGTACTCCCCCCACTACTACCACCAGAACTACTACTACTACAGAAGTAGTTAAGCAGCAGTGTGCTCTACCGTCCATGAGGTGTGATAACAACACACGCTGTGTGCCGCTGCAGCAGCAGTGTGACGGCAGCATGGACTGTAGCGACGGAGCAGATGAGGCAGACCGATGTGGTACATACATTATTATAAATCATTACATTAGTTTTAATATACAACATCTGTAATGATGGGAGAAATTATATGTATTGTGATCTTTATTGGACTGTAAATTTACATGGTTATTTTACATATAATATCATTGTTCACAATGCCGGGCTTATTTGTAAAAGAAATTTCTTCCAGCCAACCCACAGCTGTAAGAGTTAGTGTTATACAGCAGGTATAAATAGTGCAATATTAGATGCTCTTAATAATATAAAAAAATATATAATATAACACTTACATAAATATCCATAATATAATAAATACTATAATAATAAATACATATATACTATTACTACATGTAAATACATAAATATTATGTATATACAACAGTAAAAAAAAGATATTAGTTAATTTGACAAATTTATGATAATTGTGATAGAAAGTGCTCTTTTACTATTTTTAAAGAGGTAAATGTTTGGATTCTTTTGGATGGATTTAGGGAGATTTTTCCAGAGGTTTGCTGCACGTATTTTATAGGAGAATTAAAAATAAAAAACATATTCAGTATATTATACGTTACAGAATAACTAACATTCCCAGTTCATGAAAATTCGCATGTTTCAGGAGAACCCATGTGTCTGGTGGCCGCTTGTTCCCATTCGTGTCACCCCACACCCCGTGGACCCGCGTGCTCGTGTCCGCAACCACTAGTGTTGAAGGAAGACGGGTACACGTGCACTCAGCCGCACCCCTGCACAGCCTGGGGGGTGTGCAGTCAGGTATACATCATACATAATATGGATTACTTACGTATAAAAAAATATTAATACTATATATAATATCTGTCAACCTAGACCTGCAGACCTCACAAAGACCGCTACAAATGCACCTGCTACAAGGGCTACCGGCTGGCGGACGACGGATTCACTTGCAAGAGTACAGGTAGACACACAAAACATACACCTTGCACAAACGTAGGCGCGTCACTCAAGTCAGTGGTAGCCTAGTTATTAAAAGGCCCGCCTAAATGCTCGAGGGCGAGGGTTCGATCCTGGCCCAGGCAAGTACCAATGTGATTTCCGAGTCATATGTACTTTCTAAGAGTATTTAGACATTTATTAAAGCATTCCCAAAGAGGGTTGATGTCACGAAACGTAGGCGCGTCACTGAGCTGGTGTGTTCATAGAGGCGGGGCGCGCGCTGCTGGTGTTCAGCACGAGGCACGAGGTGCGCGGCGTGGAGCTGCCGGCGCTGAGGGCGCGGCCACTGCTGTCCGCGCTGAGGAACACCATCGCACTGGACTGGCGCCGCGCACCGGACGGCCTGCAGCTGTACTGGACGGACGTGGTGGACGACGCGGTGTACCGCGGGACGCTGGCCGGGGACACCGTGGCCGCCGTGGAGACCGTCGTGAGGAGGGGGCTCACCACGGCTGAGGGGCTCGCGGTGGACTGGGTCGGCGGGAACCTGTACTGGGTCGAGGGCAGTCTGCATCAGATAGAGGTATATATATTCAATCCCTACTTATAATATAAATGCAAAAGTAACTCTGTCTGTCTGTCTGTTACGCTTGCACGCCTAAACCACTGAACTGATTTTAATGAAATTTGGCACAAAGATAGAGTTGATCTTGGGAGAGAACATAGAATAGTTTTTATACTATACTTTTGAAAAGTTCTCTTGGAAACGCGATAAAACCGAAATCCACGCGGGCGAAGCTGTGGATGGAAAGCTAGTACAGTGCAAACTCGATATAACAAATCGGAGGGGAACAAGAAAATATTCGGTATATCAAGTAATTCGTTGAACTGAGGTTTGTTATGTTGAGGTAATGTTTGGTCTAAAATTCGTTATAAAAAGGTAAAATAATACATAGTTTTAGTTACCTCAACATTACTTAAATATCTTGTTATAGCGAACAACTTCTACTAATAAATGATAACACATTTTTATCAAATTACTACTGTTTACATTCAAACCACTTTCTTCTGAAAACTTTTATTTAAATTATAAAATTATAGTCAATGATCTCGCGGGAATTCCGAACTTATTAGATATGTCAAATTTTTTCGCCATAGGATTTTTGTCAACATAATTAATGATGTTTCGCTTTTCTGCGACCGATAAGAGACACCTTTTATGCTTCTGAGCCATTTTAACTTAAAACTTTAACAATATAGTGACGAGCAGAAGTGTTTATATGTATTACTTTTCATCAAACAACAACGATTACTTTATGAACAAAAGCGTGTCGAAACATGTCGAGACATGAATTACAATATAAGATTAAGAGTTATATTATTGGTGGGAACTTTATATAAAAGTTTTGGGTTGACAAAATTCGAGGTATGAATACTTTTTCTTGATAGTTGAAAATTCGTTATAAAGAGGTTGTTCGAAAAGAATGTTCGCAATGTAGAGGTATATTTTGTATTGAATCGTATGGACAATTCAAGGGGATTACGAAAAATTCGTTCAATGAAGGAATTCGTTATATTGAGGTACGTTATATTAAGGTTGCACTGTATAAAATATTTTCATCCATATAATGTGAGGATACAACAATTCAGGTGGCGTGCCTGGATGGAAGGTACCGTCGTACGCTGATCACGGGAGACATGGACAGCCCGCGAGCCATCGCACTGGATCCCAACGCAGGTATTAATGGAACTGTTTCATTGAATTTATATAACTAGGTTGTAAAGTCACAAAATTCAGTACTAGTTATCAGACCGAGCTCTACTGAATATAGCCATAAGGGACTAACCACTATTTTTTTTTGTTAACGACTCAATCTCAATATGTTATTAGAATTACATAAATATGACACGATTAAGCGTCTATTTCCTACAGGTTATATGTTCTGGAGCGACTGGGAGGCGGCCGCTCCTCGAATAGAGCGAGCATCTCTAGCGGGGCGGGACCGGCGGGTGGTGGTGCGGGTGGGCGAGGGAGGGGGCGAGGTCGCGGGGGACGGGGTGAAGGGCGCGCTCCCCAACGGCCTGGCGCTGGACCTGCCCGCCCGCCGTCTGTACTGGGTGGACGCGCGAGCTGACTCACTCCAGTGTGCGGACTACTCGGGCGGTGACCGAAGGCTTGTGTTAAAGGGTCACCCGTCGCTGGCTCACCCGTTCGCGGTGACTGTGTTCGAGTCTCACGTGTACTGGACTGATTGGAGGTCCAACAGTGTGGTCCGTGCTAACAAGTGGAATGGAAGCGACGTGGTGGTTGTGCAGAGGACGCTCACACAACCCTTCGATGTTAAGGTTACTAGTTACATAAACTAACACGATCATGTATTTATCCCTTGTCATTCAAGACGTAAAAAATATTCATTTATTCAAATATATCACTAACATTAAGCATTCAATTCCTATCTATCAAGACCTATCATAATGTTCAAGGCGATAATACTCAATTTTGAATGTGCGGAAATATTCGTAATGAAGATACGTGTTAACGTTGTAGTGGTTTATTAGTACCTAATATTTAAAATTTTACAAAGCTGTGGACTGTATCACATGTACTCACATCATTATGAATATAAATAATTTTAATTTTAACTTATAATATAGGGCGAGCGAATCTTAGACACCTATGATACAACAAATTGCTAAATCAAAGAAGCACTACATTCATCTTCATATACCTAGTATCATCTATAAATGTAATAACCCTGTTTATTCCACCACTGTAAGGTGATCCACCCCAGTCGCCAGCCACTTAGTGACCACAACCCGTGCGCCAACAACGGGAACTGTTCCCACTTGTGTCTCATTGACTCAGACACCGAGCGCGTGTGCGCGTGTCCGCACCTCATGAGACTCACACACGATAATAGAACCTGTGAAGGTATGTTATATAGGGTGTTCATATAAATATAGTCACAGAAACACTTACCATATCAAAAATACGTATATCTTCTAATAGATTGTCTTATGAACCTTAATTCAAAGTAATAAAACCTCATGTCTGCTTAAATGAAAATAGTATTTAATAGTTATTATTTCTGTAAAAACTACATATTTCTGACGTTTCGGTTACTTTTCAGCAACCGTGATCACACAGACGAGATGTGTGCACATAAAAATAGTATCATTTGAATGAATTTTTTCCGATTCCTTACCGAAATTTAAGCGAAAAATTTGTGATGTTTTTGTCAAGTCCTGTTAGTAAAATTTAGCTGTAGTAGTTTATCTTGATTGTTTTGTGATATTTTTTCTTCTTTGTTATCTTAATTTTTTTATAATACCTTTGTAATCAATAAATATTATTATGAACAGTAATCTTCAGCAGTGCTGTGTACGTCTATAATTGGTACACACATGAGTTATGTGTTAGTTTTAAATGTTTAGTTTTAAGTGCTTACTGTATGTACTGTTGATGTGCCATTCAAATAAATAAATACTCGTGAAAGTCTTAGATCTGATGTCTGTTTCCTGTTCAGTGTTCGAGGTGGTGGTGGTGGTGTCCCAGAGCGGCGTGGTGCGTGGCGTGTGGGCCGCGGACGGCGGGCCCGCGCTCGCGTCTCTGGCCGGGCCGCAGTTGGCCTCCCCTGCCTCGCTCGCTCCACTCACGCTGGACTATGAGATATACTGGGCCGATACTGAGGTGAGCTCTATGAAGATTGATAACCAGTGACCAAAGATATTTGCAACATAACAGAAAGGTTTTGATGTTAGTCTTAACGTAAAGAATAAATCGGTGTCCATACTGAATTTTCTTTAAGATGGTTGCTGTCTTTTGTATATCCCTGTTGAGTCAGTGCGTAGTCAACAGAAAATAGTTTCGAATAACAATAAATACATTGATGTATTTAAACCGATTCACATTCTTCCACGATGATCTTATTTTAAACAATATATATATTGAAAAATAATAATAATCTGATTGACTATGAAAACAGTAATTTCATGAATTCATAATTAACCCAACCCGTAATGAACGAGCGTGGTAATTAATGCTCTAATCTTCTCCATATGAGAAGAATCATTGCACAGCAGTGCACCCTGAAAAGCTGATAATAACGACTCCTTTGTATACTCATCCCTTAACATTCTGTATTCTTTTCCGTTCTCCAGACGAACGAGATCAAGTCAGCGGACGTCCGTTCAGGTCGCGTACGTACAGTATGCGACGCGGGTGTGCGAGCTCCTCGCGCGCTAGCCCTGGACTGGGCGGCTCGCGTGCTGTACGTGCCGCTGAGAGGCGGACTGGCGGCCGTCGGGCTGCAGGGGGAATATACCACCGTGCTTATAGAGAACGTGGAACCCACTGCTATGGCCGTACATCCACTTCGGTATATGACTTCACAAAATATACATAACCAGCTACGAACTGCTGTGTTACCCGCGGATTTCCGGGATGTAAAGTAGCCTATGTGTTATTCCTGAACGTCAGCTTCCTGTATACAAAATGTTATTAAAATCGGTTCAACCGTTTGAGCGTGAAGAAGTAACAAACACACACACAATCACAAAATTTCGCAATTATAATATTAGTAGGAAGTAGGATAATCATCTTAAAATGACGTATTATTACGATGCATTCTTATATTTTAGATGACATTTAAATTAAAAAGTGCAATTTACAGTTAACGTTGACGTCTACACTATGTGTTTAAATGTTTTTGTATAATGAGATCTAACGCTTTCTCGAGTATTCATTTAAATGTAACTAATATTTTCGGATTACTACGTATTTTACTATTTTTAAAACTATATACTCCCAAAGTTTCTGTTGCTTCGCAGCAATCGTGGTCACGGGCAGACGAGATGTCTATTTATATCATATATACTCAGAAACATAATCTCAAAATAAATTCAGGTGTTTTCCCCATAATCATATATGATATCAATAAATTAAATCTTGTTGTATGTAGTATATCTTCTCCCAGCTTTCTAATAGCAGTTTATTTCTCTTCCCAGAGGCGAGTTGTTCTGGGCGAGCGGTGACGTCACCGCCGGTGGTGGGGGTGAGCGTGTAGAGCGCGCTCGTGGGGACGGCTCGCAGCGGCGCGTGCTGCTGAAGGCTGAAACAGACACACATCTAGGAGGAGTCATCGGTATGTATTATGTGAAGTTAATGTTTAATACTTTTAGTTTTTAAATAAAAAACATATTCGTAGTACCAAGTCCAAAGAGTCAAGATAAATTTGGTAAACGTATCTTATAACATATTCTTTTGATAATGAGATCTAAGATTTTCGCGAGTACTCATTTAAATGAAACTAATATTTTAGGATTTACTTCGCGATTTTTAATTTTTGACTATAAATTACATATGTACTCCCGACGTTTCGGCTATTTTACAACAACCGTGATCACGGGCAGACGAGATGTGAGTGTTTGTCAGTTGATCTTGTTATTTTATCACCTACCGCCATCGATTTCTTTTGATTTTATATGATTACTTGCCATGCCTAAAAAACAAACTAAATATTGTTATTTATACTTAAGAATTTGGAACTCATATTGCATGTTAATTAAGTGATTTTGTTTTATTTCTGTTTATACGTAGGTATGTCCGTGGATATCAAATCAAACCGTCTGTACTGGGTGAACCAGAACTCGGCGACCATACAATACATGGACCTCGACACGGAGCGAGTCACCACGGTAATATATTCATATATTTGTAGGCGTATTATCATAATATATATGTAACTATACTATATTTGTTTATAATACGACATATTTGATATATAAAATTATATTTAATATTTATTTACGTATATACGTCGGGGTCACCAGCAGTGGGGGCTGGTGGGTTATCTAACTGGTGGTGCATTTTACTAAAATATTAAAATTAGAAAATGCAACAAAAAACCAATTGACATAAAATATGTGTATTTTTTATACATTAATTAATGCAACGACATTTTTCCGAAGCGAAATGTTCAATCACCTATTTATTAAAATCAGGTATTGTTTTTATATTTTTTTATTCAATACTAAGCACAGAAAGTGCATTTAGCAAGTGCATAGTATTTCGGAGAAAAGTTTTATTCTTTTCAATTCCAATTCGTCATACATCGGGTGCTCTCGGTAACCTTGGGCCGCTCGTGCGGCGCTCGAAAACCGACTCATACTCGGTACATTTCTATGAACTATCTTTTGTTTCACGCGTCCGGCGTATTGATGCGTGTCTCATACAAGATGTATTAGCAGTCCTCGTGCACTCGCCGAAGCGCACGAGATATTAGTTTAGTAAAGCGCTCAAACTTTTTGATTATAATTAGAAATTTAATTTTTTATACGTTTTTGTATATTAAGAAAATAAATATTAAAATGGTAATTTAAAAATAAAGATGGAGTAATATTTTGTAATTTTTAAATCTTTTGAATTGGTGGTTCAGCGCACGAGTGCACTTAAGGTACAGCCGCCACTGGTCACCAGTATGGAGATGTTAATGTCCGCTACTGCGTTAAATTTTAATAACTAGATCCGAATATAATACATGTTTTACTCTTGTTATTATATTTCGTGTGTATAGATAGTTTAATTGTAAGTTTTCTCCTTCCGAACTGTATGAACTTTAACCTTTCTGTGTCAGTCTTGTAACTTTCTTCTGTGTGCATTATTACAAAACAATTACGTTCTAAATAGTGTCGTGGACTTTCATTAAACCGACGCATAACGGACATTAACATCTCCATATATTCATATTTCTCACGATTTAAACGCATTTTGTATCTATGATATAATTGTTCAAGAAAGGTCAACTATATAATTAATATTGTTTATTGGTTATTGTTTATAATACGCTGAGATATTACAATTTTTTGAAAATATGTATTTTTGTCGACCAACATCTTCATATGGGGCCGTTCAAGTATTACGTAAGCAGATTTATTACAAATATTTACCCCCCCATCCCCCTTGTCAGCAAAAGTAAGCAAAGCTCTTACCCCCTTTCCCCATGCTTACGTAAACATTTTCAATTACTATATTTTTTTTAATATAAGTCCAGAAAAAAATTATAATTGTATTTTTTTATGCATCTACTCGATGTGAAGATTAAAAATTAATGACTACCGATGACGTAATCGATACCTAGACTCCCCTACCCCCCATATCATCCAAAATAAGCAAAGCAAAGACCCCCCGCCCCTCCATAGTGCTTACGTAATACTTGAACGGCCCCTATGGTGTATGTAGAGTTTTAGAGATATGTACAAACCCTTAAAAGTACTAGAGGGAAGTTGAAGGTCAAATATTAGAATGTATATATGAATAACAATGACACAATTGATTCTTCTTCTACCTAGCAACTTCCCAGCTTTAGCCAGGGTCTGCCTTACATGTTGTGATTAGTTTTGGGTAATTGTTTTTACGAGCGGCCGCCTGCCTGACATCAGCCTTCTTTGGGAATGCATAAATCAGTGATGTCCAAATACTCTTAGAAAGTACTCGCGCCCTCATGCATGAGAGGCGGACCTTTTAACCACTAGGCCACCACTGACTGGATTGACAAATTATGACATAATTGATTATATTCTAATTATTACAAACACTAATACGTTTTTGGTTTCAGTTATCCCTACCCTTGGGGTCCCGTCCTCGCGCGCTAGATGTGTACGACAACCACATGGTGTGGGCGGACGAGGCTACCGGCACCCTTCAGACTTGTCCGCCAGACCACTGCACACAAGCAGACGTCATGAGGAACAACACCGGTAAGGGAAAGGATACAGCGACCTGTAAATACAGTAATAAAATACTTTTTTAAATAATAAGACCGAAGATTTTCGCTAGTTTAGGCTTAAAGATCTTTATTTTCCAAAAAAGCCAAAGTCACTTACATGGAAACAAAAAAATCAAGTAATATTAAATGTCGTTCTTAAGATATAATTATATAACGAGTTGTTTTACTCATTCATTGGATTCATTTACAAGTGGGTAGTTTTGTATAATATATTCCGATAGTTTAGTTTTGAATACATTAAATGACTTTACAGATTTTAAAGTAGACGGTAATCTTCTATATATATAAAAATGGATTGCTGTTCCTTAGTCTCGCTAAAACTCGAAAACAGCTGAACGGATTTATCTTATCTTAGTCTTGAAATGTTTGTGAAGGTTCAGGGAAGGTATAAAAGGTGAGAAAAATTGATTCATTTCCGGGAAAACCCTAAAAACTGCCCTTTTCTATTTCCCATACAAATGTTTTCTTTGACATTAGATTTGATAACTAACTAATATGTCAATCATTCTGTTCGATTGAAACAGGAAAAACCTGATTATTTATGGCCTCTAGGACGGAATAGAGTTCGCCCGGTCAGCTATACATATATTACTAAAGATGAAATTAACGCGGACGAAGTCGCGGGCAAAAACTAGTTTATTATAATACTGTGCGCCCTCATATGTAAACATTTTTTTGCCCAGTTTTGTTCTAGTCCTGGGTAAAACTAAGAAACTAGCGCGGCGCGAGCGCAGCGTACGTTTAGTTGTGTTCTTTAGCATCGTAAATGATAAGCTAGTATGGAGTGAGCTATTTAAAATTTTTCTGACAAGAATGCATATATTAAGTATATACAGGGTGACTGGTGAATTACTATCAATATTTAAGGAGAATACTCGGTACATGATTCTCATTCGAATTATGTAAAAAAAATAGGTACTTAATTTTTGACCAAATTTCCGTATAAATAAATAAAGCGTGGACACGTTCCAAGTGGTCCATGTGTGGACGCGTGCGGCGGCGTGCTGATACAACAATACGCCGCCGCGCGCGAGTGTGTGTGTGTGTGTGTGTGTATACCTAATCTGTAGGGTGTTCACACGATGCGTAATTAATTACATAACTTTTGGTTAACTTTACTTAGAAGTTTATTAATATTTATGTTATATTAATTTTTATTTTGTCATATATGATCGTCAAATATCACGTCCTCAAATATCGATAGTAATTCACCAGTCACCCTGTATATTGTTTTATGGTCATTAATTTAGTTTCTTTATATATTGGTTTGGTTGGCGTTAAGGAAGTTTTATTCATTTAAATGAAACTAAAATTTTTCAGATTATACTGCGCGACTTTATTTTCGTAAAAAACTACATATATCACGGACAGACGAGATGAGACGAGTGATCACGGTTGCTGAAAAGTAGCCTAAACGTTGGGAGTATGTAGTTTTTTTACGAAACAAAAGTTGCGTAGTATAATCAAAAATATTAGTTTCATAATTTTTTTTATTTTTGTATTAATATTCCACGCCCTATTGTTATATAGAGGGTGTTCTCTCGCTGACCGTGTTCGACGCGGCTCGTCAGCAGGGCGCCAACCGCAGCGCCTGTGCCTTGAGAAAGAAGCCGTGCAGCCAGCTCTGCCTTTCACTGTCCGCTACTGAGTCCACCTGCCGCTGTGCCACGGGATATTCTGTCAACGACACGGACTGTATACGTAAGATATTGCACTTTTACTAGTATTCCTTGTATTTTATCTCATATTCCTGAACTATGTATTAACTTACTTTTTTTCTTATATATCATATGTTATTTCCACAGCTTTAGACGACGTGTTAGTGTACTCGTTGAGCTGGGAGCTCCGTGGTGTGTCTCTGCAGCAGTCCCCGCAGGACGCGCTGCCTCCAGTGCCGCAGGTCGCATGCGCTGCTGTCATCGACTATGATGCTGGTGAGTTCCTCATTCTAACTAGAATTCACATTCGTATTCGCAACGTCAAGCAGCGAAAACTATGTTTACTTGCTCTAAATAACAACAAAGGAATAAAACTCTTTAAACGCATATTGTGCTTAGAAACTTTGTATCTTTAAAATAGTAAAAAAGTGAAAAGTTTTCAAGTTTTAGTGCTAATAGTGCAGTAATAACAGAGTTATAACGAATTAAAATAAACAATCTTAGTTCGACTTAGTGAAAAAAATACAAAGATTAATTTTTAATTTATTCTACACATAAACTTAGTCTCAAATAAGTTAAGTACCACTTTTTAACTGCAACGTGTAATGAACGCTTTGGCCTATCTTGTACAAAGCTTGCATTGAGTACGCAAATTCTGGGTTCAAACCTCATCAGAGTAAGAAAAAAATTTGTGTGAAAATAAATTATAGTAGGATGAAACTCAATTACGATAAACTAGCTTTTGCCGCGGCTTCGTCCGCGTGGAATAGTGACTTCCGGCAGATTTTTGGTTCTTCCCACATATTTAGTTCCCGTTCTTGCGGGGTTTTCGGAATGGTCGAGTTCCCGTAGAATTTTCATGATAAAACCTATGTTTTTTTTAATTCACAATGAAGTACTCTTAACTAACAACATATTTATTTGTTTATTTGAATAAAGATTAATATTATTATGTTAATACAACTTAAACAAATTATTTCGATCAAATTAGGTACCATAAAAACAGTTTTTGTGAGTTAATCTTAAAAGATAGACATATACTGTCTCGGACTGTTTTTTAGATCATTAAAAGAGCTATTACTCTTTAATACATATTTTTTTTGTATCTTGAACCGTTTTCACGGCGCATGCAACGGAAGGCTTCAAAGATGAAATAATTTCTCCCGTTTTTTACACATTTACCACTATATCTTTGCTCCTATTGGTCGTAGCGTAATGTTATATAGCCTACAGCCTTCCTCGATAACTGGACTATCCAACACAAAAAGAATTATTCAATTCGAACAAGTAGTTTCGGAGATTAGCGCTTTCAAACAAACAAACAAACTCTTCAGCTTTATAATATTAGTATAGATTAGAAAAGGAGGGGAAAATTATAAAAATTAAAGGAAAAATAATTTACGGGAGATCTGAGGTCGGGAAGGGTATTTAAGGGTAAAAAATGGGTTTTCTCGATTTCCGGCAAAACTAAGTCCCACGGAAAAATGTTATATAGCAAAGTTGTAGGTAATAAAAAGATCTAAAACTTTTATACTTTTATACAAAATTTATGTGAATAACAAGAAAAACCAATTTTATGGTTTTTATTTTTCTCTTCCAAAAAACAATTTTTTGTCACAAAATGTGGTAAAAACTTTCCTTTTGATGTTACAAATGCATTGTAATTTATTTGATTAGAAATATTTATTAATTCAGCTTATTTTGAATAAATATCGAAAAATCAGCCTCATTTTCAATCGAAAAATCACCTTTCAAAAAATCAGCTATTTTCAGAAATTTGGTATGCTTTCATTTGTTAAAATCACTTTTTTCTGATGGTGACGAAAAAATATAAGTTTCTTACTTGCAGTACCGTTTTTTCGATAAAATAATCATGCCCCTTTTAATGAAATGACACTCGATATCGGTTGGAAAATGCTCTTTCAATTTATTTTTAATAGTATAGAAAATTGACATTAATCTGCTAAAACTATCAAAAATAGATTTCATTAAAAGAGACATGATTATGTGATCCAAAAATGGTTCTGTAAAAATAAAAAACCATAAACTTGGTTTTTCTTATTTTTCACATAAATTTTGAGGTTATGTGAAAATAATGTTAGTACAAAAGTTTTAGATCTTTTTATTACCAACAACTTTGCCATATAACTTTTTTCCGTAGGATTTTTAGTTTTGCCGGAAATCGAGAAAACCCATTTTTTACCCTTAAATACCCACCCCCATACCCTTCCCGACCTCAGATCGCCCGTAAATTATTTTTCCTTTAATTTGTATAATATTATCCATCTTTTCTAATGAGTTTCATTCTACTATAATTTAATTATGTTTTAAAAGCTATCGGCTCTGGTCTATAAATGTAAACATCACTTTCATTTAGAGTGCGCTACGTCAAGTAGCAATACCACAATATCACGGGTACATTGGAATATGTCCAGCTTGTAATATTAATACAAATCGGAAAGCTTCTAACAACTCATATACAGTCAACAAAAAAATACTAGACTTAGATAACAATAGTCCAAATTGCCCTACCTCTGCCATTGTATATATGACAGTCCGATACTATCTAGGGAAGTTGATTTATTGGCAGCTATTAGAAAAGAGGTAGAAGAAACTATACATAAATCCCTAGGCGTTGAACCAAAAAAAATTAGGGAGCAATTGAACGGAATACAAGACATCAAGGATTCCTTAAACTATTTTTCAAACTTATACGATAGTGTCAAGCTGGAATTAAATGAAGCTAAGAGAGAAATAGCTACCCTTAACAAAAATAATAGCGAATTAAGGGATATTGTTAACGCCCATGCTAACACTATAAGTATACTAGAAAAGGAAACAAAATCCAGCAACCTCGAACTTCATTGTATTCCTGAACATAGAAGCGAAAATTTAGTAAAAACTGTTTAAAAGATTGGAAGAATTGTGGGCTTTACATTGAATGAAGGGAATTTTAATAAATGTACAAGAATTTCAAAACAAAATAAAAATTCGCCTCGTCCGCGTACAGTCCTTGTTAAATTCTCAAACCAAATACTACGTAATAAATTTATGGCAAGTGTCATTAATTTTAATAAAACCAACCCGGACAACAAACTCAACACGTCTTATCTTGGAATTTCAGGAGAAAAATCCCCAGTGTTCATTTCTGAAAATTTAACAACTACAGCCAAAGTTATATACTCAGCAACTCGAATTTTCGCCAAAGAAAAGCAGTACCGCTTTGTGTGGTCAAGGAACAATAATATTTTTCTCAGAAAGTCGACTGCGACTGACCCGATATTAATAAAGTCAAAAGATTTTTTAAAAACTTTAAATTAAAAAATATAGATATTTTTTTTACCTTTTTATTGTAACTAAATTACTATATTTATTGCTTACTAGTTTTTGCCCGCGACTTCGTCCGCGTTAATTTCGTCATTAGCAATACTTGTATAGCTGACCGGGTGAACTCTATTCCGATCTAGAGGCCATAAATAATCAGGTTTTTCCTGTTTCAATCGAACATAATGATTGACATATTAGTTAGTTGTCAAATCTAATGTCAAAAAAACGTTTGTATGGGAAATAGAAAAGGGCTGTTTTTATGGTTTTCCCAGTAATGAATCCATTTTTTTTAGCTTTTATACCTTCCCTGAACCTCCTCGAACATTTCAAGACTAAGATAAGATAAATCCGTTCAGCTGTTCTCGAGTTTTAGCGAGACTAAGGAACAGCAATCCATTTTTATATATATAGAAGATTCTTAACTAATTTTAAATAGTTATATTTTTACACTAGCTTTTGCCGCGACTCCGTCCGCGTGGAATAGTGACTTCCGGCAGATTTTAGGTTCTTCCCACATAGTTCCCGTTCTTGCGGGGTTTTCGGAATGGTCGAGTTCCTGTAGAATTTTTTGGATAAAACCTATGTTTTTTTTTATTTACAATGAAGTACTCTTAACCAACAACATATTAATTTGTTTATTTGAATAAATAATAATATCATTATGTTGATACAACTTAAACAAATTATTTCGACCAAATTAGGTACCATAAAAACGGTTTTTGTGAGTTAATCTTAAAAGATAGACATATACTGTCCCGAATTGTGTTTTAGATCATTAAAAGAGCTATTATTCCTTAATACATATTTTTTGTGTATCTTCAACCGTTTTCACGGCGCACGCAACGGAAGGCTTCAAAGATGAATTAATTTCTCCCGTTTTTTACACATTTACCACTATATCTTTGCTCCTATTGGTCGTAGCGTGATGTTATATAGCCCACAGCCTTCCTCGATAACTGGACTATCCAACACAAAAATAATTATTCAATTCGAACCAGTAGTTTCGGAGATTAGCGCTTTCAAACAAACCAACAAACAAACAAACAAACTCTTCAGCTTTATAATATTAGTATAGATTGTTAGTCTTTTTCTTTGTGATTAATTTAAGTTTTTATTATATAGTCATCTTAGTTTTATTTTTTATCTTAATTATTATTATTATTTTTTTTTTTTCTTACTATTGTCGAATGTTGTTGTACTTCGTTTATCTAAGCATTTGTTGGTATTGTTTTTAATTATTTAACGAATTATAGAACTTTAACAAACAGTGTTAATGCATGACAGAAACCTAAGTATTTTTTACCAAAATGTGCGTAGAATGAGAACCAAAACTAATGAAATTTACCTCTCTGTATTAAATTCGAACTATGACGTATTGATATTCATAGAAACATGGCTCAATTGTAACATAAATAATAATGAATTTTTGGACGATAGGTATGTCGTTTTTCGCCGAGACCGTGAGACAAGTGTCTCTTATAAATTGGATGGTGGAGGTGTTTTAATCGCTGTTTCTAAAAATATAAAATGCTACAGAGTTAACACGTGGGAGTCTGAAGTTGAGGATATTTGGGTTAATATCGTGTTTGGTACAATAAACTTATATTTGTGTGCTGTTTATATTCCTTCTCCAATTAAAATTGAGACACTTAATACATTTACGCAAAATGTAGAAAAATTGTTACCAAAATTAACAAATACACTTATCGTTGGAGATTTTAACTTGTCTGTAATCAAATGGATTCCACACAATTATCTTAAATATCTTACTTCTGTTCATTGAAATATACCCGTATGCACGTATATTGATGATTTTATGTCCTTGACAGGTCTTTTTCAGTCTAATAATATAACTAATCCGTATGGAAAGATTTTAGATTTGGGTCTAAGTAACTCAATGAATATAACTGTTGAAAAAAGTGATATGATAGATTGTTCAGAAGATAAGTATCATCCGTCGCTGGATATAAGTTACAATATTTCATCATTCAATTCATCACATTTTACACCTAAATCTTCAACTAAGTATTTTTACAGAAAGGCTGATTAATTATGTATATACAGGGTGACTGGTGAATTACTATCGATACTTGAGGACGTGATATTTGACGATCATATATGACAAAATAAAAATTAATACAACATAAATATTAATAAACTTCCAAGTAAAGTTAACCAAAAGTTATGTAATTAATTACGCATCGTGTGCACACCCTACAGATTAGGTATACACTCACACACACATACGCGTGCGGCGGCGTAGTGTTGTATCAGCACGCCGCCGCACGCGTCCACACTTGGAACACTTGGAACGTGTCAACACTTTATTTATTTATACGAAAATTTTGTCAAAAATTAAGTGCCTATTTTTTTACATAATTCGAATGAGAATCATGTACCGAGTATTCTCCTTAAATATTGATAGTAATTCACCAGTCACCCTGTATATAAAAGAAAGTCGTGTTAGTTACGCCACTTATAACTTAAGAACGGCTGAACCGATTTAGCTGAAAATTGGCAGGGTGGTAGTTTAGAGCCAGGAAATTGCAATAGGATACTTTTTATCAGGTTCGACAGCATTCCCGTGGGACTCGACATGAAACGTCAGTCACTATAAAACGTGGAATAACGAAACACAATTGATAGCTATGCAATTGACGTATAATGACAGATATGTAATGGCGTAATGATGACAATTAGATATTTGTAAGAGATCTACTATATAAAAATAAATCCATCCTGACGCTATAACTTCAGAACGAACGAACCAATTTCCACGGTTTTGCATTCGTTGGAAAGGTCTCGGGCTCTGTGAGCGGGAAAATCCTTTTTTCACATACAGCGCTACCATACATAACATGTACTACAAATCAATATTTTAAGTAGATGATGCCGGTGCATGATACATTGTTTGACAGATACTTATTGTTCTCTGCTCAGTTAATTTCATGTGACAAACGGGTATTGTGTTTGTAGTTTGAACTCTTAAAACCATTTAGTATTTGCGGGATAAATTTAGAAAATCATTGTTTTTCACATGGGCGTTATATTTTGCGTGTTCACGAGTTTGGAAACCATCCGCTTTATTTGTGTTAAAGTTAGACCACACAAACAAAAAATGTGGTTTACAAAGGAGCACTTCAATGCAACGGATAATTTGCGGACACGTATAACGCTTCGATTCGGTATCTACTTTGGATTCACTTTCATTTACTTAGAGAAGTTCAACTAAATAACACTTCATTTTTGTAATCGAAATGAATTCATTACTGTTTATTTTATTTTATTTATTTGGGACAACCAACATTTGTACATATGTGAAAATATATTTTATACAATTTAATAAACTTAATCTATGTACACTTAAATGTTGTGAAATGAAATAAAATTTCCTTTTCAAATATAAAACAAAAAAAAAATTCTTCATCTTTTAATCACCAAACGAAATGTGATATAATAGCCTTCTGGTGGCGAAACGGAGTTCTCCGGGTTTACTAGTTCATAATAAAAATTACCCTGTTTGGTTTTCAAAAAATCTTAAGAAAAGATTAGCGGAAAAAAATTTGATATAGAATCCTTTATAAAAAGTACAAACATCCATTAGATGAAATTTTATTTAAACTATTACGTGCCAGATGCCAGGATATAATTAACTCTGACTATACAACATATATTGATAACGTAGAACTTAATGTTAGAAATAACACAAAATTGTTCTTTTCCCATTTAAAAAATCTTCGAGGTAATAAATTCGATTATCCGGCTGTTATGACGTATAAAGATGAGCAATTTTCTTTTGGCCAAGATATTTGTAACCAGTTTGCTAATTATTGTTCCAACACGTATATTAATTACGATAAAACAGACTTTGTTACTGTTCACAAAGCAAATGAACAAGTACCAAAAATAAATATTAGTTCTCTGGAACTAAAAAGCCTGTTGAAGGGTATAGATAAAGGAGCTGTACCCTATAATATCTCCCCTTATTTTGTTAAACAATGTGCAGAATCTTTAGTTTGGCCTTTACAACTTATTTTTAATACACCGTTTTGTTACAATATCGATGGCAACGTTCTTGAAAGTGTAACGCAGTTTCGTGATCTCGGTATTATAATGGACTCCAAACTCAGTTTCTTTCCACATATCGACGATATTGTTAATAAGTCTTTCAAGTCCAAAGGCTTCATAATTAGGAATACAAAAAATTTTAAGAGTACGTAGACACGGCAGTTGTTGTTTGATTATTTAGTTCGCAGTAGGTCATAGTCCGTTAGACTTAAGCTGAGCTTTGCATTTGTGTGAGTTAAACTTGAAAGTAAAAGTAGAGTTAGACAAAAAACTTTAACAATTTAATGTTATTATATTTTAAATAGATACATAGCATTTACAAGAGCTTTAAAATAAGTAAAACTTGTAAAAGTCCAGATGGCAATATTATGAATATTATGGAAAAAAATTATTGATAAATATTTTTTTTTTAAAACTATACAAATTCTTAGTGACTTGACATTGCGTTTTCAACATTTGATTTTGCTATCAGTACAAAAGGTGAAGTGAGGAAGGTGCGGGGCGGAGTAAAAGCAGAATAAACCGGTTCAAAACTAGAAAAGAACGTGGCATTCAAAACTTTTACATCACACCTACACTATCCGTATACACTCACACAAATGCAAAACTCAGTTTAAATCAAACGCACTGTAGAGTACAGTTCAACTACTTGGAATCCATATTATAATGTTCATAAAGACAGAACAGAAAGAATATATTTAAGAAATTTTTATGATATTTATGCTTTATTGATAAAAATAATTTACAGAACGAAAATTACAAGACTATACTTGCAAACTATAATGTACTTTCTTTAGTAGATTGCAGAGATATGCTGGACCTGTGTTTCTTTCATAGAATTATTTCCGATGTTATCGACTGTCCTGATCTATTAAATCGAATTAACGTTGTAGTTCCAAGACAAAATGCCAGGCATACAACATAATACACTTTTAAAAGTAAATTTTCTAGGACCAATTTAGGCCAAGCTGCGCCAATAAGTAGAATCATTAAATGTTATAATGATCTTGAGCGTAAATCAAACCTAGACATTTTTAATGATAGTTTGAATTTGTATAAAAGTAAAATTAAAAAACATTTCCATTCTCAATAATAAGTCATGTCACAACTTTTTTTTGGTAATTAAGTTTCTTTTTATATAGCTGTTTTTAGATTATTATTATTATTTATTCCTTTTTGTTGTTATATACATACTTTCTTCACCATTTTTTTTATTGTATCTTGTAAGTTTTGGAGTAAGATCTAAACATTATGTAATCCATATTGAGTTAGCCTGTAAGTGATGATACGCAACTGTAAAATTAAGTTCCATCATGTTATAATGTAGTTATAAGTTTTTGTGTATCACGTTGGCTTCCTATTAAATAAAATAAAAATAAACTAGCTTTATACTAATCCCACTGTCCTGATTAATAATTAGTTTTCCATTCTAATTTCAAAGGAATCTTTTATAATTATAACATGTAATATATATTCAGATGGTGAATGGATCTACTGGGCGGACCCGGAGGGCGGGGCGGCGTGGCGTGCGGGGCGCGCGGGCGGTGGTCGTGAGCGTGTGTTGCTGCAGGCCTCCGCCGCGGGTGCTGCGGACTCCCTCTCGGCCCTCGCCCTCGACCCTCTCTCCAAGCAGCTGTACGCGGCCGACGCGGCCAGGGCCCTGCTCCTGCTGGCTCGAGCTGACGGCAGCCATCGCTACGTCCTCAGAGACACCAGCCCGCTTGTTGTCACTAGTATGATATCATTTGTTCTCTTAATATTTGTATGTATCCCTATGTGAGGGGACTTATGTTATTGAAACGAGTGTATTTGGTAGATGATTTATTACTGAATAATCAACTCAACGATCTTAATATTTATACAACATCCGACTTACATACTACTTATTACACTACAAATGTAATGATCTTTAGCATATGAATGCGATTAATTTATGTATTTTTCGTTTTTATTTCATGACTAATTATTATTTATTCGATTATGTACGCCTAAATTATAGTAATATATGTAATATACTTCAGCGTTGGTGTTGGACCCGTGGGCCGGCTGGATGTTCCTGGGAGGCGGAGGCTGGATCGAGCGTGCTCGTCTGGACGCGTCCTCCCCCTCCCTCCTATACAACGGGACCGCGCTCACAGACATAGCTCTGGACGTGCGGGACCAGCTGTTATACTGGACGGACACATGGGACGTATCCTTGTGGTGTATGAGGTACGACGGCGGGGCTCGGCGGAAGGTACACTCGGGAGCGCCTCTACAGCATCCCGTGGCGGCCGTGGTGCACGCGGGAAAACTGTACTGGCTCGACACGGCGCTGGAGCACGGCAGCGTGGCTGTGGCGCCCCTCACCAATCTCAGCGACTACCGCTTACTGGCCGACCATCAAGGGGACAGCCTTAAAGACCTCATGGTATTACCAACTTTGAAATAATTGAAATAAACTTTATCGAAAAACACAATTCTCACATAATAGATTAACATATGACACAATTAAACTTTACTTAAACTATTATAATGATTTCCATTGGTTGAGGTGCGTTATGGTTTTAGCAATTTAAAATTTTGATTATCTTTGTACCCCACACTAGGAGACCCGTATCGTGGGGCCCGAAATGTGGGTCTTTTTATATGCACATATAAATCTACACCTAAAAAGTTTCTAAATTTCTTTATATTACAATAGAGTATTCAATTTCTGAGGTTTTCGTTTGTGTCTTCCACATAACACAATCATATTTGTTTACCACATAACGATGTTTATAGATCTGGTCGAAGTCTTCCCGGTCGCAGCTGGAGGTGCGCAATCCGTGCGCCAACAACTACTTCGGCTGCGAGGCTCTGTGTCTGTGGGACGGACACACGGCCCGCTGCGCCTGTCCTCACGGAGACCTGGCACCCAACGGGAAGAACTGCACACGTAATATATAATACTTTTGAACCATTTGTAACATCTTTATAAAGAACACGCCATCTGCCGTACGTGAAACTTGTTATAGTTAATCGTAAATAAGGCATCCACGACACAAGCTCGCTTAGTGTGGACGCCCCTGGAAATTGCGCCATGTTATCACTTCAGCGAAATATTGTTATGTTTTTAATTGTGTTCCCTGTTAACATTGAGTTATTGCTGTTAATAAAGTATTTTTCATATTTTTTTTTCAATGTATAATATCACCTACTTATATTTCTCAATATAACAACTCCAGCTCGATAATTACTTGTCAAGCAAATATAATCCTAATTTCCAAGGTCGAAAGTTCATTATTAATTTTTTATTTGAATTTTCTTTAAAGTATAACGTGTCATGTTTCAGCATACACGTCTTTCCTGATGTACTCCCGGGTCACCATGATAGACACCATCCACTTAGCCAGCGACAAGGAACTCAATTCGCCCTACCCGCCCATAGATAATAAGCGAGTATTTTATGATATATAACAAGGATAATATATATGTATATAATTATTTATAGTCCGTTAAACTTAAGCTGAGCTTTGAATTTGTGTGAGTGAAAGTAAAAGTAGAGTTAGACAAAAAACTTTTAGAATTCAATATCATTATATTTTAAATAGATACATAACATAAATGCGAGAGTTATTCTAGATTTAAAACAAAATTAGCAAAACTCATAGAAGGCCAGATGAAAAAATTAGGAATATTATGGAAAAAAGTTAATTAATTAAAATTTTGAAAATTAATTAAAATTTTAAATTCCTTTTCACTTGACATTGTGTTTTCAACATTTGACGCTGCTATCAGTACAAAGGGTGAAGTGAGGAAAGTGCGGGGTGGAGTAAAAGCAAAATAAACCGGTTCAAAACTAGAAAAGAACGTGGCATTCAAAAATTTGACATCACACCTACACTATCCGTGTGTACTCAGACAATTGCAAAGCTCAGCTTAAATCAAACGCACTATAGCTTTCTATATAATTAATATCAAAATGATAGCTTATAATAATGACGTTTTATGTGAGTAGCTTAAACAAAATAAGTAAGAGTTGGCGTAATTATGTGTATATAGTCAAAACTCGTCATTTTTTCGTATAAACAGGTATGTATGTATGTGTATATTCTAGTAGTCCATTCTTTCTCTATAACCTATCCGTATCCCCAGGACGTTAATGCGTAACGCCATCGCCTTATCCTACGAGTACTCAACTTCCACCGTGTTCTACTCCGACATACAGCGAGGCTCACTGCTGGCTGTACACTTCAACGGATCACGACACAGGGAGATCTTGCAGAGTGAGTCTGGAATATTAGAAAAATTATATCTGCCATACTTTTTTGTATATGTTTTAGAATGCGGACTATTTATGTTTGATTTTGAATAGACTTAGAACGAATTATTTTATTTTATCTGTAAGTCATTTGATAAACAATTGTAATTCAAGTAATAGACCTCAATTAATCTCAGCAAATGTGTTTTGAAAGTGTATATCGTATTATTATTATTTTTTTCCTCTGTGTCTTGAATTCCTAAAACGATAGCATATGCTGAGTGACTCGTTTTTGTGACATCATACTGCTGTGCAGGCGGCATTTTGTTTTGATTTATTTATATCTTCTATTCTGTAATCTTCATTAGATATTATTTAATTGTATTGTTATTTTATGTTAGTGCTGTCTCGAAAAGATAAAACATTGTCTTTCTTTCTTTCTATATAATGTTATTATATGTTTGTAGAGGTGGGTTCCGTGGAGGGCATGGTGTTCGCTCGTGAGGAGCGCACGTTATACTGGACGTGTGCCTCCGCCCCCGCGTTGCGAGCGGTCCACGTGCCGGGGTTGGAAGACGAGCCTATGAGTACCAGGGGTAGAAGGGTGCGGACACTGCTACTGTTGAACCCGGGAGATAGGCCGCGGGGGATCGACTACGACCCATGTGAAAAGTAATGGACTTATTATTATCATATTAAACACTGTGTTGCTCCGTTACGGTGTAAATAGTCTATTTATACTAAATACAGTGTAAACTCTATATAACGACACTGAAGGGACTGTGCATTTTATGGCGTTATAGAGAATTTGTCGTTAAATCGAGTGACGTTACATGGAGTTTACACAGTATATGAATCACGCGGATATAATTTGCTACGCAGACGATATATAATTATATTTGATGGCACTAACTGGACTGAAGCTCTATTGAATGTAGAATTGGGTATGTCTAAAATTAATACATGGTTAAAGAACAATCTTCTTACACTGAATATTTCAAAAACCAAATTATTCTGTTTCCATAAAACCCTAACCAATAGTCCTCCACCAACATTGTCTAGTGTATATATACATTCCTGCGGAAATAACTTTATTATACGTAAATGTCAAAAAATAGACAGAACTAATACTATTAAATATTTAGGTATTGTTTTGGATCAACAATTGAATTTCAAAGCTCACATCGAAGCGGTTGCGGGGAGAGTTCGTAAACTTGTATATATAGTAAGATATTTGCGAAATGTAGCTAGTTTAGAAACCCTACGAATCATATACTACGCCCGATGTCAATCAATTTTCAGTTACTGTATCAGCTGTTGGGGTGGCGCTTCTAAAACCTCCATGAAAATTTTAGAAAGGGCCCAACGTTCCGTCCTAAAAGTACTCTTGCGGAGGCCGTATAGATATCCAACCGATCTCGTTTATTAAGAAAGTGAAGTACTCAGTGTTCGTAAATTGTTTATCCAAAAAATAACTGTCTGTTCATAAAGCTATTGTCAACTCTAATGAATATTCTAATATGTTGCAGCGTCGTATTTTTTAAGTACCAGTATCAACCGTTAACTCATCCTTTGCACGACGTTTCAATCCTTTTATTTGCCACTTTGTATATAATAAAGTAACTAGCTTATGTGACATAAAACGTTGCACTTTAAATGAAGCTAAAAAGGTTCTCCATAATTGGCTAATTTCATTGTCTTATGAAAATACAGAAAAAATTCTTATCGTACAAACGTGATCTCAGATTCATGATAATTATATTTATATCTTGTATATTTACTTTATTATATATGTGTATGTGTTTATATGTGTATGTACATATATATATAGGTATATATATTTTGTTATCGTAATAATAATTACTATATATTTATGTTAGCCAGTGGTGTCCTAGTGGTTAAAGGGTCTGCCTCTCATTGCCGAGGGCGTGGGTTCAAACCTGGCAAGTACCAAAGTGTTTTTTCGGAGTCATATGTACATACTTTCTGAGATTATTTAGACACCACTGACATACGGTGAAGGAAAACATCGTGAGGAAACCTGGACTTATAGTTTCACAATTATAAGTTTGAAATCACCAACCCGTCTTGAGCAAGCGTGGTGATTAATGCTCAAACCTTCTCCATGTGAGAAAGAGGCCTTTGCTCAGCAGTGGGCGCTGATAGGCTGATGACGATATTTATGTTATTCCATTTTATTTACCTGTTTTTGTATCTTTTCTTTCTATATTTAAGATTTAATACTGTGAGCCATTTGTAACATGTTTATAAAGAACCAGCCATCTACCGTAGGTGAAACTTGTTATAGTTAATCGTAAATAAGGCATCCACGATTCAAGCTCGCTTAGTGTGGACGCTTCTGGAAATCGCGTCATGTTATCACTTCAGCAAAATATTGTTATGTTTTTAATTGTGTTCCCTGTTAACATTGAGTTATTGTTGGTAATAAAGTTTTTTTCATTTTTCAGATCTGAATTACACATATTTTTTTAATTATGAAAATAACCTATAGTTCTTGTATGTTCTATTTCCAGACGTATATACTGGACGAACTGGAACCAGACGCACCCAGCGATCGAGCGCGTGTACACGAGCGGGCGCGGGCGGCAGGCGCTGGTCACCAGAGACATACTGATGCCCAACGGCCTGGCCTTGGAGCACGAGGCGCGGCTGCTGTACTGGGCGGACGCCAGGCTCGACAAGCTGGAGCGGATGAGATACGACGGGAGTCACAGGAGGGTGGTGACCCGCGCGCGATCAGAACATCCCTTCGCTGTGGCAGCGGGAGGGGGGTGGGTCGCCTGGACCGACTGGCTGGCACGAGGAGTGTTCGCGGCCGAGCGAGGGGGAGGAGCCGTGCGCGCGCTAAGAACAGACGTGCCCAGACCATGCGCGGTCGTGCTCGTCGCTCCACACCAACAGACATGTACGAGTCACAGCTTGAACAATACAGAAACACTTCATCAAGTATATCAACTCTTATATTAAATGTACTAAAATATTCATTGTCCAGGTTCATCGGATCCGTGCGCCGTCATGAACGGCGGGTGTGCGGAGCTGTGTGTGGTGGACTCCAATAGACAGGCGTCGTGCGCGTGCGGCGCGGGGCGCGTTTTAGCTCGAGATGGGCGCGCGTGCGCTCGGCCGGACATGTCGTGCATGCCGGGGCAGTTCGCGTGCGCGGAGGGTCCATGCCTGCCGCAGCACCTAGTGTGTGACGGCATCCCGCACTGCGCTGGAGACACGGACGCCAGCGACGAAGACCTCTACTACTGCAGTCAGTATACATTTATACACTATTTATTAGTAAACAAAACTGTTTATTTATTTGTTTAGTTAGTATGACGTAACATTAGAAAAATCTTTTTGTTTTGAGTAGCCTGTTATGCAGATAAATTATGTAATAAACTATGAATCAGTAGGCTCAGTTTATAAGTGAAATAAATAACAAGAGGAAATCCATATTTTTCAGTTATGGGTTCTTAATTTACTTAGGCTGAAAATATTTTAAATTCTTGTGGTTAAAAAACGTTATTTCTCATAAAGATCATACTATGTTCACTTAAATGAGATGTAGTACATAATTTAATTTAATTAACAATTTAGTAAAGTAGTAACGACTTATACAATACAAGAGTAGTTAATCTAAGTGCTTTTTACAATAACTTAATAATTTCTTTCTAAAACTCGTAAAAGTTTTTTCATTAAAAATTTCGTTAGGTAAGCTATTATATAGTTTCGCTCCCTCAAACTGTATAGTTTTAATTCCGTATTTGGTCCTGGTCTTGGGTAATTTAAGTTTGTGTTTATGTCTCGTGTTATGTTTATATGTTTTAGTTTTAAATGTTATTTGTGTGTGTATTGTTTTTGGAAGTATTTTTCTTATTAATATGCATGTTTTATATTTGTATAACTGGTTAATTGATAATACATTGGTACGTTTATATAATTCTTTAATTGACATGTAATAATCTAGATGGAATAATGTTTTTAGTAATTTATTTTGCGAAATCTGAAGAACCTTTATATTAGTTTTAGATGCACTTCCCCAAATCTCAACAAGATATTCTAATAAAGGTTTGATAAGTGAGTTATATATTATAATACGAACCTTGTGTGGTATACAAGATTATTTTTCTTTGTATATAATCTAAATGTGCATGCCATGTTAGTTTCGGGTCTAGGATCAGGCCTAGATGCTTTTCTTGATTTGATTGTTTGATAGTCAGGCTATTTATCGTTAATGGAGTGAAATTTGGTATTTTCTTATTTTTTGCATGAAAAAGCATGAACGAGGTCTTTTCAATATTTATAGTGAGTAAATTATATTGCAACCACTCGTGCAGTTTAACTAAATCCTTCTGTGCTAATTCTTAAGAAATTAAATCAGAATAAAGCAAGTTAGAAACATGAATGTCTTACTGTTAGATAGAAAAATTTAAACTTTTGAAACTTTACAAGATTAGTTGTATTAGTAGCGCCATCCGTTGGAAAGGAATCATATCTTTATATATATAAATCCTCTGTGAGTGTGTATGTCACTGAACTTCTCTCAAACGACTGGACCGATTTTGATGAATTTTTTGTGTGTGTTCAAGGGGATCTGGGAATGGTTTAGAGTCACAATTTTGTCCGGAGGACATTGTTTTTTTAATTAATTTTCAATTTATTAGTAGTAGTTGATACAAACGTTTTTCTTTTGACATTACATTTGATAACTAACTAATATGTCAATCATTCTGTCGCACTTCAAAACACGGAGATTATGGCTTTAATAGGTAAACTCCAAAAATATAAAAAAAACATAACAGATATTTCTTGATTATAGGGCGACACGAAGTTCGCCGGGTCTTCTAATAATAATATATAACTCCAATCACTACCATATTTGTATTCACTTATACAACTAGTATAACTGACTCAAATAAGTTTCTTATGTGTGATGGGGCCCTTATTATAATGTAGTTTATAACATTTTATATTAATTATATTGCGTGTATGTCCAGCGTCCCGCGTGTGTCCCGTGGGCTGGATGAGTTGCGGTGCGGGCGGGCGGTGCGCGGCCCCCGAGCAGAGGTGTGACGGCCGCGTGGACTGTGACGACGGCTCCGACGAGGTGGACTGTGACTGCTCCGTCGAACAGTACAGGTAGGACACTCAGTGAATACACTCAGTGGATACTTGACCAGAGACACATGAACTACCTGAGACCTTACCCGCGGTTATGTCAAGGATCAGGCGAGGTTGGTTGAGGACTCGGTTACATGATTTGCATCTAGTTCATATATAATTAAAAAAATGGTTCATATATTTTATTAATCTACATCGTGTCTTGCTTATCATTAAACATATATATAGGATGTGGGCATGCGTGTAACACGTCTATATAATAATGAGTCTCACTACAAGTAACAAGTATAAAATGCTCCATAGTACTTATAATTTGTCTGTACTTTGAAGCAGCCTAAGTCATTAGCATGTGTGTTCCAGGTGTGACGACGGATCGTGTGTAGAAGTGGGGGCTCGTTGTGACGGGGTGTCTCAGTGTCCGGACGGGTCGGACGAGGCGGAGTGTCCGCGGGCAGCCTGCGACGTACCGGACGCCAGGAGCTGCGCCAGCGGACACCAGTGTTACGGCGGGGATGCCCGGTGTGACGGACACCTGGACTGTGACGACGGCAGCGACGAGGCCGACTGTGCAGGTGATGGAGACTTATACAGGGTGACTGGTGAATTACTATCGATATTTGAGGACGTGATATTTGACGATCATATATGACAAAATAAAAATTAATATAACGTAAATATTAATAAACTTCTAAGTAAAGTTAACCAAAAGTTATGTAATTAATTACGCATCGTATGAACACCCTACAGATTAGGTATACACACACACACACACTCGCGCGCGGCGGCGTGTTGTTGTATCAGCACGCCACCGCACGCGTCCACAATTGGAACACTTGGAACGTGTACACAGTTTATTTATTTATACGGAAATTTGGTAAAAAATTAAGTACCTATTTTTTTTACATAATTCGAATGAGAATCATGTACCGAGTATGCTCCTTAAATATTGATAGTAATTCACCAGTCACCCTGTATATCATCACTGTAGTGTATGTACATATATATACAATAGATATAATACACTGTCTCACGTACCCCACTATTCTGCATTATCAATGTGTTGCATACAATTTTTTCTTACATTATTGAACTTTGCATTATCAGAAGTTTAAATCAAATTTCTTTATTTTAATTCAAAAATTTGCATAAATTATTGCAATTTTCTACAGTTTTATAATTTAATTATTTTGTATATTGTTATAAGAAATTTGTATTTAATAATGACTGAATAATTCAATTACTACACTAGAGCTATTAAGATGTGTTCTAGTACATTTAACATTATAATGCTCTTGTGGTTATCATCTTTTATAAGTCCTCTGTTTTTACAACTTCAGAGAGTACGCTGGCCCCGAGTTTTGACGGGTCGGACGGTTTCGAGGAGCAACCGGTACAGAGCTGCAGCGACGACCAGTTCCGGTGTGGAGGAAGCTCAGGTAGTGGCGGGGAAGGGGTGGAGTGCATCCCCCTCGCCTGGCGGTGTGACGGACGACCTGACTGTACCGACGGGTCAGATGAGAGCATACACTGCGGTACGAACACACATAATGATAAGTTATAACACTTTCGCGAGTATTCATTGGAATAAAACTAATATCTTCAGATTTGCTAAGCGATTTAACCATAATCACGGTTGCTGCAAAGTAACCGAAACGTCGGAAGTATGAAATTAAAATCTCTTAGCAAATCCGGAAATGTTAGTCTTATATAGTCGTATATATAAAACATACTTACATATAACGAGGAATCATTATGTTCTATGTGTGTATAAATATATGGAAAACCTAATAAACTTATTTAAGAAGATGATAATGAACTTGGATATAGTAGTTGTTACAGTTTATATGGAAATAAAACGATCTTACATTAATGTGCTATACAAATGTATTATTCTAATAATAAAAGAAACATGACACGCACTAGCATGCTCTTGATACATACATAATTTATCTATTTGAGAAAATTTCTCAAATAACGAACTTACAGTATAGATACGATAATAATAAGACAATAAATGAAAATACGTCTAATTTTGGTATATAACAATTATTGAGACTGTCAAATCAATCTCAAGCTTGAATACCAAACACATTATGTAGTAAACATGGTGTATTAACTCAGTAACCCCCTCCCCCTCCAGGTCACCGCGAGCCTTCCCCCTGTGGCCCGCAGTCGTTCCGCTGCGCGTCCGGCGAGTGCGTGCCGGGCGCGTCCCGCTGCTCGGGCGCCCCGCAGTGCGCGGACGGCTCGGACGAGCGAGGCTGCGACTGTGCACCCGGGACGTTCCGCTGTGCGCTCTCAGAGACCTGCCTACAGACTGTGAGTGATGACAATTTGCCTTTAATATCTTGTGGATCATGTTATGAAAGGCAATTGAGTTTAGATATTTGTATTGACATATATTTTCAATATTTAATTTTTATAACGACATTACAGTTTGATGGTAGAATGGAGATTCTGCGAGAGAACATATTATAATAATGTATTAAATTGACAATGTAGCATATCGAATATCGACTTGCTTCTAGGTGCCATTATGGACAGTGATTTTTGCTTCCATTAATAAAAGATAATACGTAAGCACAACGGTCACAGAATGATGGAACTTGATAAAATTAATAATTAAAAGAATAACAGAAACATAAGCAAATGTGATTTATTGAGAGATTACACAATAAACATTTTTTTAAACTTAGTACAATAATGATGGTTACAAGTACTATATAATGAATAATGTTGTGCCAATCGGTAAAGAAGGGTTCAGTTTTAATATTACAAAAGAACTGACAGACGAGTAGCACTGTTAAAGATAGAATAGATAGATTTATTTATATGTTATATAAAGCGTAATGAATACGAAAATGTTTAAATTTTAAAAGAGTTGTGAAGTAGTGTTAGACCAGTGACGAAAGCTTTTAAAATATAATTAAATTATAGTAGAATGAAACTCATTAGAAAAGGTGGATAATATTATAAAAATTAAAGGAAAAATAATTTACGGGCGATCTGAGGTCGGGAAGGGTATGGGGGTGGGTATTTAAGGGGAAAAAATGGGTTTTCTCGATTTCCGACAAAAGTAAAAGTCTTTGGGAAATATGTTATATAGCAAAAGTTGTAGGAAATAAAAAGATCTAAAACTTTTGTATTTACATTTTTGTCACATTACCTCAAAATTAATGTGAAAAATTCGAAAAACCAAGCTTTTGGTTTTTTATTTTTAACTCTTACAAAAAACAATATTTTTTTACCAAATTTGGTGAAAACTTACTTTTTGATGTCCCAAACACACTGTAATTTATTTGATTAGAAATATTACGTTTTTCAGCCTCATTGTCAATCGTAAAATCACCCGTCAAAACATCAGCTATTTTTAAAAATTTGGTATGTTTTCTATTTGTTGAAATCTCTATTTTCCGATAGTGAAGAAAAAAATATAAGTTTCTTACTTACAGTACCATTTTTGGATAAAATAATCATGTCGCTTTTAATGAAATGATACTAGATATCGTTTGGAAAATGCTCTTTCAATTTATTATCTTATCAAATAAATTACAGTGCATTTTTAACATAAAAAGGAAAGTTTTCACAAAATTTTGTGTCAAAATATTGTTTTTTTAAGAGATAAAAATAAAAAACCAAAAACTTAGTTTTTCGAATTTTTCACACAAATTTTGAGGTAATGTGAAAAAAATGTAAATACAAAAGTTTTAGATCTTTTTATTACCTACAACTTTGCCATATAACATATTTCCCAAGGACTTTAAGTTTTGTCGGAAATCGAGAAAACTCATTTTTTACCCTTAAATACCCACCCCCATACCCTTCCCGACCTCAGATCGCCCGTAAATTATTTTTCCTTTAATTGTTATAATATTCCCCTCCTTTGCTAATGAGTTTCATTCTACTTTAATTTATTTTCACTTTTTATTACTTTTAAAGGCTTCTGTATAGTAGGCTATGTTGTATAGTAACGATGTCCAAACTGATTTGCCGAATGTAGGTCGTAAAATTGTGTTATATACTGCTACGTTAGAAATATTATTAACAAAAAACTTTTCTGTTGATAAAATTAATAAAACCAACATAAGGTTTCTAACAGGAGTTAGTTTTATATAATTTATGTGCCAAAACTTTAATGACAGATTTTTGTATCAATAATTGTGATTATTTAACATTCTAAAAAAGCTGAAATAATTCTCTTTTCAGAGTCTATATTGTGATGGTGACGCTGACTGTGAGGATGGGTCCGACGAGCCCCCAGGCTGTTCGTCCCCCGTCACTACAAGTACGGTCTCCCCCGTGGGGTCTGTAGTCCCCCCACCCTTCCACAACTCGTCGTTCGCTAGTGAGCTCTGCGCCGGTGAGCCGGGGTCATTGTACTGCCGGGGTCGCTGTGTACCCGCGGCTCTCGTTTGCGACGGCCGCGACCACTGCGAGGACCAGCCTGATGGACCCGGCAGCGATGAGGACCCCGTTATGTGCTGTGAGGACTAAATCATTTAATATCAAAATTGTTAAAAACAAACAACATGTAAATGAAACTAAAATTTTCCTATTTTATTATTTTTAAAAACTACATACTCCCAACGTTTCGGTTACTTAGCGGCAACCGTGATCCCGGCAGATGAGATGTGAATGTCTGATGAATTAGCATATACAACCCCTTAATATAACGTACCTCAATATAACGAATTTTTTGTAATCCCCTTGAATTGTCCATACGATTCGATACAAAATATACCTCTACATAGTGAACATTCTTTTCGAACAACCTCATTGTAACGAATTTTCAACTATTAAGAAAAAGTATTAATACCTCTAATTAACGAATTTTGTCAACCCAAAACCTTTATATAAAGTTCCCACCAGTATGTAATATAACTCTTAATTTTATATTGTAATTCATGTCTCGACATGTTTCGAATATTTTCTTGTTCCTCTCCGATTTGTTATATCGAGTTTGCACTGTATATGAAAAAATTACAGTAAAATTTGCTTTATTATTAATATTTATTATGTAATAGCCACAATGTTTCAGCGACTGTCCCATGTTTCCTATAGTAACATGTTTCATATATCCATATATCCGTAGCATCATTCGCGGCGTCGTTCGGGTCGTCAGCGGAGGCGGCGGTGTCAGCGGTGTCGGCGGGCTGTGTCCGCGGCGAGTGGCGCTGCGGTAACGGCGCCTGTGTGCCCCAACACGCGCTGTGTGACGGACGGGACTCATGCGGGGACTTCACTGATGAGTGGCATTGCAGTAAATACACCTTATTTTGATTTTTTTTGCAAGTTCATAATATCTGCAAATAACAATAAGGATTTAATTATGATTTCGACGGTTGGTGGATGCAAAGAAACCAAAATTATTTGACTTAATTTAATTAAAAGTAAATTACAACTAGGGTGCGACTATGTTGCACAAATAGTGACAATAAATCTAATGAAATTCTTAAGAGAAATATTATAATCTAATAACATAAAAGAAATATAAAACCAATTATATTTTATTAAAACGACCACTTATTACACCGTCACATAACAAGTTTGTGCTATTGTGCATTTTTTTATATAAAGCTGTTTCTGATAGACAGGGACAGTTAAACATCGATCTTTTGAAATTACATGATGTTTAAAGCATTAAAAATATACTGACGTTTTGCACATGTATATATTTATTCCCAGTTATATATGGATGGCCATTCCAGATATCAACGAATGCCTCATCCTGAACGGCGAGTGCGGTCACAACTGCACAGACCTGCCTGTTGGTCGCGCGTGTTGGTGTCGTACAGGCTGGAGGCGCGCGGCCAACGGCTGTGTGGACGTAGACGAGTGTCGCGAAGACCGGCCCTGCGACCATACGTGCAGGAACACACTCGGCAGCTATGTGTGTACCTGCAGCAAAGGGTACCGGCTCATGGAGGATGGCTCCAGCTGTACGCCTGTATCTGGTATGCATAAATATACAAGTATAGTGAGAGTTAGTCTGAATTAGACCTTATTTTGATTGGGATTAGAAGTAGTTTTGGTTAGTCTAATACAATTGTGCTCGTTCATTTTTATGTCTGCATGGTCTTTATAAGTACGAGCACGATAAAAAGTTTCTACTTAGTATGATATATTTAACTTAAAAAGAGCTCCCTAGCTGTATCTATTGTTTATGTGTAAGTTACAGAAATAAACAATTTTTTATTTTTTTTAATTAACTACAAATGTGATAACATTTTAACCACGACTATGGTTATTGAAGTATTTGATAAAATTCTATAACAATGCTCTTAATTTTGTTACTTTGATTCAGTTACATATTATTAAAAGCAATTTTAGTTATTTTTAACTCAAAATACTATAAGGGTATACTCATTTGATGTCTTTTCTAATGTTATTTTCTATTTTATTGCACATATTTTTTGTATTAGAGATATACATATTTGGGGTAAAATAAAACAATTATATTTATATTGATATCATTAAAATATACAACTTAATGATGAAGTAATATCAGGTTGCTATTGAAAATTTGTTTTTGTAATTGACATAAATTAATATGTGTATTTTACACTAAAATCAGTTTCAATTATAAAGAAATAGTATTATAGATGAAATATTTTTTTTTCGTAGATATAAAAGCATCATTGATATTCACGAACCGCTACTACATCCGTCGGACCAGCATCGTGGAGGAGGAGAGCTCGGAGGTGGCTGTGACGTCACTGCTCGTACACAACCTCACGAACGCAGTAGCACTGGACGCGCTGTGGGACAAGGGCTGTTTATTATGGAGTGACGTCACGAGGCTGGGATCCTCCATCAAGAAGCTGTGCGGCGTCACGGAGGGCGGGGCCGCAGCGGACGCGGGGCGTGGCCAGGCGAGAGTACTGGCGGGCGCCACGCTACAGAATCCTGACGGACTAGCTGCGGACTGGGTGGCTGGGAACGTGTATTGGTGCGATAAAGGAACCGACAGCATCGAGGTGGCGCGCCTGGACGGCAGACATCGCCGGGTGCTGGTGCGGGAGGGACTGGCTGAACCCAGGGCGCTCGCGCTGCTGCCGCAACAAGGGTATATTATTATTACAATTATTAAACTAATGCAATCCTTCTTGTTGAACTATACTTATAAGATGGTTCTATGCAGTCTAAGTATTTAAAAAGACGTGAATATATAATAAGGTATAGTACCTATATGTTAAAGATTATTATTGCATAATTACTATTTGATTATATTTTAAGCTAGTATTACATGTTGTGTATGATACATAATAATATTTACTGAACTCATCGCTAGACATTATTTCTTCATATAATAAACATTTCAATTTTTTTCTTTCTCACCACTGACTACTTATAATAATAATAATAATAATAAAACTTTATTGCTTCAGGTAGGTCGTACATTAAAAAAGTAACTCTTAATAAAAACATACATATTTTTATGATATACAAAATTATTCATACTGGAAAAATTTTTTTTCTTAATTTACCAGTCGTTTTCATTGACAACCGTATCGCAATTGGTTACAAGCTCAGCTATGTGCTGTACTATACCCAGCGCTGATTTTCGGCTTGCTCCTTCTACATTATGTTGACTTCGTTAAAAGCGCCGCACCGTTCCGTAACATATTAAAGTGATACAAAAAAAACTGATATAAAAGCAAGTAAAAAAGATACCGGTGAAATTATTATAGAACACAAAAAGAAGTAAATAAACAATTTCTCCAGTTTATAACTACAGTTTAAAATTAACCATTAAAAGAACGACAAAAACTTAATACACGCAAGCACATCTTCGCATCATTGATGTGTACATCATGACTAGGACAATGGAAACTATGATTAAATAAAAATAAAAAGTCGTCTAAGTTTTTAGGATTCTAGTTTTTCTTGTTTTGCTTCATTCGCATTCATTTATAAAGTTTTTTTTCTTTTCCTACGTAGCTGCTTCTATTTGTAGACGTAGGTAATATTCTTTAATGTATTTTTCAAAGTTACTATTGAAAAATGACAATTATCCAGGTCCCAGATGCAAACAATATTAATATTAATAACTAGTGTTTCATATATATCCTGTTCAGCTACATGTACTGGTCCGACTGGGGCTCGTCGGCTCACATCGGTCGCGCCGGTATGGACGGCTCGGGTCCGTCTGTCATCATCCGAGGCCTTGGCTGGCCTAATGCTCTGTCTCTTTCCCCCGCCTCTGGAGAACTGTTCTTCGCTGACGCCAGGGAAGACTACATAGCGGTAGCTGACCTAGACGGATCACATGTGCGAGTTTTGTTCTCAAGAGGCAGGTCAAATTTATTAATCTCGTCATACAATTTTTTCTCTAGTGTTTTAACTATTGAAATTTTTATTCTATTGATATGAATAATTAATTCATTTAAAAATGTCGTTGGATATTATAGAATGAATTTATCAAATTTAATGTTTATAGAAAAATCTTCAAAACTAAAGGTATTACCAGAAAAGTTCGTGCGGTTTTCATCACATCATATATTGTGTTAGATAAGTTTTTCACTTTAAAAAACCAGAAAAGTTATTGGTAAAGCATGGCTGTACAGTTCTTTAATTCACAAAAACCAGATTTATACAAAAAAGGTATTTATGATCTCGTGTCTAGATGGGAAAAGGTTACATCTAATGAAAGTCACTCTTTATCAAAAAAAAAACCTAAATTTATCTTATTAACCCTCAAAACCGCACGAACTTTTTTGGTTGCCTTATAAAAATTGATAGTTTTTTTTAGACGATCCCAACTGCAGAATCAAAAATTTGAGAAAGGAAAAGTAAAGTTAATGTTTTGTACTGGATTATAAACTTATTTACTATCATCATGTATATTATATACAGATCGTATGCCCTGGCTGCCCCTGCACCACGTGTTCGCGTTGGGCGTGTGGGCCGGTCGCGTGTATTGGACTGACTGGGAGACGCGCGCGCTACACTCTTGTAGGAGGACACCGCACCGGGCATACAACGTAAACACACACACACACACACACACACACAGACATCGACCAACTAAATAATATATACAGAGCAAAATATATTATGAAAGCTGGAATAAAAATAAGTTTCAATATATGTTAAACTTGAATGAAAATTTAAAATGCTGCTTTTTAATGCAATGAAACAGTTTTATTATGTCTGTGTTTTTATGTTGACAGGAGTCGTGGGGCGGCGGACCGGCCGCGGGCGGCGCGTTGAGGTGTCGTGTGGAGGCGCGGGCAGTTCATAAACCTATGGACTTAAGGGTGTTGCATCCCGCACGACAACCGCCACAGAGGGGTATTAATAAATACGGAAATACTATTTGAATTTACTTTACAATCTCTTTTTTAACGAAATACATATTTTAGAACTAACTGCACTCTGCGAGAAGTTAAACTGTACGGGTCTGTGCCTGCTGTCTCCGCTGGAGGGCGGCGCCACCGCTCACTGCGCGTGTCCCGAACACTTCGTGCTGGGTGCGGACGGCCGCTCGTGTTCTCCTAACTGCACGTCCGCTCACTTCGTGTGTCGCTCCTCCTTGAAGTGCATCCCGTTCTGGTGGCGTTGCGACACACAGGTACCGCATTTACTTACCTATGAATCTCGTTTTATATATCTTTATATATATAATTCTTCTGTGAGTGTGTATGTCACTGAACTTCTCTCAAACGACTGGACCGATTTTTATTATATTTTTGTGTGTGTTCAAGGGGATCTGGGAATTGTTTAGATTCACAATTTCGTCCGCTGGACAATGTTTTTAATTAATTTTTAATTTATTAGTAGTTGTTGATACAAACGTTTTTTTTACCTTAGATTTGACAACTAACTAATATGTCAATCATTCTGTCGCACTTCAAAACACGGAGATTTATGGCTTTAATAGGTAAACTCCAAAAATATAAACTCAAAACCTAACAGATATTTCTTGACTATAGAGCGATACGGAGTTCGCCGGGTCTTCTAGTTATGTTATATTTCAATGAATATCTAAACCTCAGGACGACTGCGGCGACGGGTCTGACGAGCCGGCCTCGTGTCCGTCGTTCCGCTGCTCCCCGGGCCAGTTCCAGTGTACCAACTCCCGCTGCGTGCATCCAGCGCACATCTGTGACGGCGTGCAGCAGTGTGGGGACGGCAGTGACGAGCGGGACTGCGATGCATTCACGTGCCTCGCTGCGCAGTTCAAATGCCCAGCGGCCGGCGCCGCGCCCGCACGCTGCGTGCCCTCAGAGGCGCGCTGTAACGGAGAGAAGGACTGCGCAGGCGGCGAGGACGAGAAGGACTGCCCGCCCGTCAGCTGCCCGCAGCACACTGTAAAAATTACACCCTATTGCTAATCAATTCAGATGGCGCTATTGCCCGAATTATTAACCTTAGTATCAGCTCCGTATTCAAATAAATATAAAAATAGTAATTCTAAAATTGGTGTAGTGAAACAATAATAACTTTGTTTGTTCTGATTTGATAACTAACGGTTAGTGTTTGTGGCTTCTTTGGATTAATAAGTATTAAAATAAAGTGTAATATACTGTATGTGACCATTCAGTTATAGTTAATCACAGTTTAAAATACAGAAAAACTGTTTATTTTCAAATTTCATTCATATCTGTGCTAATATAATCCTATAAAAATCATAAAAGTATGCAAACTCAGTGCTTTAAATAGTAAAATAGTGTAGTTTTGTGATATAGACATTAAAAAACCAGTTGTTTTATTCAAACATTCATATGTCATTGAACTTGTTCCTCATTGGATAATTCGCCACTACGTAACTCAATTTGACAACTGTTAAATAATTTCACGAAGTTTTCGAAGTGCATTATTGGTCCAGTGGTGTCGATTCCCGTTTTTGACTCCTCTTGCGCACGAGCGACCCGAGTTCAATCCCAAACGAACTCGATCGAGTTTTATTTATTTACATATTCAAGATTATTATTATTTGCAATTTTAAAAGATACATTATATAAAAATGAAGTTCGTGTGCTGTAAAACCACCACAGAGGGAGCTACTGGTATGATGACATGTTCCAGTTACAAAAACAATTATCACATCGCTTGTATGTATCCCACAGACACGAAAAAAATATTCCCCGACCTTAAAACCAAGTGGGTCTGTCCTGAATGTTCTCTTATAGGCCAGTGCAGATGCCTTTAACAACAAAACAAAACAAAGAAAAATGAAAATAAATTATAGTAGAATGAAACCCGTTACAAAAGGAGGGGAATATTATAAAAATTAAAGGAAAAATAATTTACGGGCGATCTGAGGTCGGGAAGGGTACGGGGATGATGGGTATTTAAGGGTAAAAAATGGGTTTTCTCGATTTTCGGCAAAACTAAAAGTCCTACAAGAAAATTATATGGCAAAGTTGTAGGTAACAAAAAGATCTTAAACTTTTGTAGTAACATTTTTTTCACATAACCTCAAATTTTATGTGAAAAATTCGAAAAACCAAGTTTTTGGTTTTTTAAATTATCTCTTTCAAAAATCAATTTTTTGTCACGAAATTTGATGAAAACTTTCCCTTTGATGTTCCAAATGCACTGTAATTTATTTGATAAGAAATATTTATTTTTTCAGCTTATTTTCAATAAATACTGAAAAACAGCCTCATATTCAATCGAAAAATCACCCGTCAAAATATCAGCTTTTTTAAAAAAATTGGTGTGTTTTCTGTTCGTTAAAATCTCTATTTTCCGATGATGAAGAAAAAAATAAATTGGAAACAGCATTTTCAAAACGATGTGGAGTGTCATTTCATTAAAAGGGACATGATTATTTTATCCAAAATTGGTACTGCAAGTAAAAAACTTATATTTCCAGCCTGTGCATTTTATACCTAACTTTCGGATTGCAGATTATGATGCAATAAACTCAGAATTCTCTCATGTAGATTGGACTAACTTAATTGATGATAATGACATAGATGTTTTTATGAGGTTATTAACAACATAATTAGAAAATATGTTCCAACAAAGAAATCTTTTAATACACGCTATCCTCCATGGTATTCCAAAGCTTTAATAAAAATTATCAATGAAAAACTGAAGTTTCATAAAAAGTGGAAAATATATGAAAGATCGAGTGACTATGATCAATTTAGTTCGTGATATCTTAAATGTTTAATGTTTTTAACTCTTTTGTTTTTGTTTACTTTCAATTTTAATTTAATTTGTTTTTTTTTATTTTTTTGTGTATTATCTATAAGTGGAAACTTGATTGATTTATGTTTTTGTTATTTTTATTTTTATATTGCAGTGTTTCTAAATTGTTTGTTTCCAGAATAAAATAAAATAATAAAAAAATAAATACTGTAGACGAGTCCCACTGAAAGACGAATGTATTTTTCCCAGTTCCTGTGTGGCTCGGGAGCGTGCGTTCCTCAAGTGTGGGTGTGTGACGGTGACGCGGACTGTAGCGACGGGTCCGACGAGCGCGGCTGCTCGTCCCGGCAGTGTGCTCGCGGGGAGTTCCGCTGTGCGTCGGGACGCTGCGTGCCTCGCGAGTGGCTCTGCGACGGCGAGGCGGACTGTCCCGCGCTGGAGGACGAGGCCCGCTGCGACGCGCACGCCGCCTGCGAGCCCACCTACTTCCGCTGCGCTGACATGCGCTGCATCCCCGGCCGCTGGCGGTGCGACTTCGAGGAGGACTGCGCCGACGGCTCGGACGAGCGAGGCTGCACGCCCAGGAACTGCTCCGAGTCCGAGTTCCGCTGTGACAACGGAGAGTGTATCAGAGGAGCGCTGCGGTGCTCCGGGGCCGCGGACTGCGCGGGCGGGGAGGACGAGCGGGCCTGCGCCGCCGCCTGCCCCACCAGCGCTAAACTGTGCACACACTCGCAGGAGTGCCTCCAGAAGTGTGTACATTGCTTATTCTCTTAGTAATCGTGGTTTGTACTTGTCTATATCTATATAAACTTTCAGTGAGTGGTGGTGTGACGGCGAGGTGGACTGCGCCGACGGTTCGGACGAAGATAACTGTACTTCCAGCGTCACGACGATGGCCACTCACGCAGCTGCGACCCTGGACTGTGGGACACGTTTACGTTGTGGTGGTGTGAGTGGTGGGGGGTGGTGCGCCCCCAGCGCGTGGCGCTGTGACGGTCGGCGGGACTGTGCGGACGGCTCGGACGAGGAGGCCGGGGTCTGCCGACACACCGTGTGCCCGCCGCCCATGGTCCGCTGCGGAGAGAACACCTGCATCCCGCCACACCTGCTCTGCGATGGTTTCAGAGATTGTGCTGATGGCTCCGATGAGAATCCACTGCTTTGTATGTATAACATATATTTATGGCACATGTTTTTGTGGATATTTAAAAAGTTGCCTTTTTTAATGAATTGGAAGTTTATACATATGTTCTATACATGCTCTATAGCCTCATTCCATTCGTTCCTCCTCTCAGGTAGTCGTAGTCGCAGTCGCTCGGAGTCCCTGTGTCCTCGCGACCAACAGCTCTGTGGTGACGGTAGATGCGCGCCAGCTAACGCTCCTTGTCCCTCCGGTACACATCACATATAAACATTACTATGATTTAATCCATACTGCTCGTAGTATTTACATCGCCACTTTAATTTACAGAGAGCGGCTGCAGCTGGCGCACGTGCTCGCAACTCTGTCTGCCCAAGCACGCGCACAACCATACCTGCAAGTGAGCATCAACACACGCATAACATATTATCTTATATATTCAAATGAGCAATTCTTGTATATACAGAAATGAATGACAAGAATGACAAATTTGGAGAATTAACTCTGAAAAATTTAAACATTATGTCACTTGAGAACTGTAGATGCCCTACGGGAATAAGGGATCAACTTTTCCTATATAAAATCATAAATAATCTTATAGACTCAACATATTTATTAAATAACATATTTTTTAAGTGTTCTAATTCTTCCATATGATGTAAACATATCTTCTGTCTCATTATGTAAAAGAAATTATGCAAAAAATTGTTATCTCGTAAGAGCCTGTACTAACTATAATACATTGTTTAACTGTGTTGATATTTTTAATGACAGTTTTTTAAAGTATTCTCGTTTTTGAAAAAGCTCATATAGTTATTAAATTTAGGATGTTTTGTTTGTCTTTCTTATACTTAAATACACTTTGAATTGTGAAATGTTTAAATTCTGATAATTATAAGTATTTTTTTTTATGTTCACTCCATGAAACTGTGCAAAAGTGGAAACTTTATTGGCTTGTGTAATTATTTTTAATATGTGAAAACTATTATGATGCGTATATGCTGTTTGTTTCTCAATAAATAAATATAATATATTTATGGAATCTCGGAATTGGCGCCAACGATTTTAATGAAATTTAGTATATGGGGGGTTTCGGGGGCGATAAATAGATCTAGCTAAGAAACATTATTAGAAAATGTTGTTTTATATAAAAAAAAAATAACAAAAACGAGTCGTTTAAAATATGACTCTTCCTGATATCTATTGGCGAATAATAATACTACTTTCTGCTAATTGCTTTAACGACACAACGACAGATTGCGTTGTTAAGTACCAGGAAGTCAATAAGTGTTTGTTTTTAGGTTAGACTAAGAAATTAATTATCGATTTATATTGTTTTGTGTCTTCTTAAAGTGTTCATTTAAAAATGCCTAAACGAAATAAAAAAAAAAACACAAAATAAAACCTAATAATTCCTAAATACCGAGCAAAGCTCGGTAACCAGATATCATGTATAAATAGCACAGCGCTTTACATATTCATTACTCAATGAACATAAAGTGTGTTAATTTTTATTATATACCCTGACTTATAACTTTGATTTTTCTAGATGCGTAGCCGGATATAAGCAACATCAACTATCAGATGGAACTTTCACGTGCGAGGCTACAGGTATGATAATGTGATTAAAACTACTATCCCTTACAATCATTTCTCGATCTATAACTTACAATTCTTACTATGAAGAATAAATAACACTTGTTTTATATGTTCATAATCAATTTTTATTAAGGACTACACTTTTAAAAAGCACACCATTTTTCATTTATAAAAATAGACAGACATATCAAAGACAAACATAGAATAACAGTACCGTAGAGAATATACAGTATTGCCAATATAAATGTACTATTTATTACCAACAACAATAATACATGTTCAGGTGAAAAGGCGAAAGTATTGGTAGCATCGAGCGGGGTCCTGAAACTACTGGAGCTTCACAAACATGAACACGAGCCGCTGGCCGCCACGACGCACTACAACGAAACGTATGTACCGACTACTAATGTATAATATGTGTGTTATTTGTGTTTCTGTGTGTTACATGTCGGTTGCTGTGTTATCGACATGAATATATACATTGTGTGTATCGGTTGCAGCGTGGAGATAGTGAGCGTGTGCTCGGCTCCCGTGGGCGGTGTATGGTGGGCGTGGTGGGCGGACGGCCACGGCCGCATCCGTCGTGTTCGTCTAGTAGCGGCGCGTGGCAAGCTGTCTCCCGGAGTGCCCGCTAGATCACCGCCGCTGCCAGATTCTTCACCGGACATGCGCGAGGCGGAGACTGTAGTGGAAGATTCTGGGACTATCCGCGGGGTGGCCGTGGACCCTCTGGCTGAGAGGTTGTACTGGACAAGCGTCCATGGAGCTGAGGGGGCCTGGGTGGTGGGCACCGTGCAGGCCGCCATGTTGGACGGTCGGCGACGAGTCACGCTGTGGAGACAACCAGGAGCTGAGCCGGACGACCTGGTTATATCACTGGAGACAGGGTTAGTTTATTATATTGACGGTGTTAAAGGAATAGATTCATACTGTCATTATTAAAAATATTCTTCTTCTACCTGACAATTTTCCAGCTTTAGCCACGGTCTGCCTTATGCCAGTCATTATTTCCAATATCGAGTATAATATAGTAATATGTATCAATTTTAATAGATCCACTATATTAATAGGTATATACAGTGCAACCTTAATATAACGTACCTCAATATAACGAATTCCTCGATTGAACGAATTTTTCGTAATCCCCAAGGGGATTACGAAAAATTCGTTCAATCGAAAAATTCGTTCAATTATATGATCTCAAGTTCAATCGTATTGAATCGTATGGACAATTCAAGAATTGTCCATACGATTCAATACAAAATATACCTCTACATTGCGAACATTCTTTTCGAACAACCTCTTTGTAACGAATTTTCAACTATTAAGAAAAAGTATTCATACCTCTAATTAACGAATTTTGTCAACCCAAAACTAACTCTTAATCTTATATTGTAATTCATGTATCGATATGTTTCGAAACGCTTTTGTTAATAAAGTAATCGTTGTTGTTTGATGAAAAGTAATATAAACACGTTCTGCTCGTCACTATTGTTAAAGTTTTAAGTCAAAAAGGGCTCAGAAGCGTAAAAGGTGTTTCTTATCGGTCGCAGAAAAGCGAAACATCATTAATTATGTTGACCAAAATCCTATGACAAAAAAATTAGCCATACGTAATAAGTTCGGAATTCCCGCAAGTATATTGACTACAATTTTAAAATTTAAAGATAAGTTTTCAGAAGAAAGTGGTTTGAATGTAAACAGTTGTAATTTGATAAAAATGTGTTATCATTTATTAGTAGAAGTTGTTCGTTATAACAAGATATTTACGTAATGTTGAGGTAAGTAAAACTATGTATTATTTTACCTTTTTATAACGAATTTTAGACCAACCTTACCTCAACATAACAAACCTCAGTTCAACGAATTACTTGATATAACGAATATTTTCTTGTTGTCCTCCCATTTTTTATGTCGAGTTTGCACTGTATTAATATCTTCCCAGCGAGTTGTTCTGGTCGGAGCGTGGTTCGTGGGGCCGCGTGTGGAGCGCCCGTCTCCACGGCGGCGGGGTCCGGACAGCTGTCTCCCACGGTCTCCGTCGGCCGACCGCCCTGGCGCTACTTGGGCCGGGGCTGCGTCTGTTCACACTGGATGCTCACCGCGCCCTGCTTCGGAGCGACGCACTCAGCGGGGCTGATACTGTCATACACGCTATCTTCGAGTCGGACGCCGCTCCACAACACGACGTGCCCACTTATAAAGGTATTTATTTTATTTTCGTTTATTGGCAATCCAACAGCGTTACAGTAATTTTAGAATAGTAACAATATAGCTATAAACAAGGCCAATTTAGGATTACACAAATTTACAGTTCTACAGTTACACTAGAGCATACAATTAAGGATAAAAAGAAAAGGGAAAAAAAGCAAAGCAATTGGTTTTAAATACAAAAGTGTGTGTGTGTTTTTTTAACATAAAATTACGGGTTACTATGTATCTTTATTATTTCTTTTTTAAGTCGGTTTTTAGTAACATGGTTCAGGTCTAGATGTGAATAAAATTTATTGTATGTATGTATGTATATACTGAATACATATCTCTATTAAATTATGTTCTTTCTTCCTTATATAATAATATTTCTTCATCAGACGGTGCTCCATTGTCACTGAGCGGTCGGTCATGTTCCCGTATGGTCGTGTGGGAGGAGTATATATGGTGCGGTACTCCTAGAGGGCTGGTGTCTGTACCGCGCCGCCCCCGCCCCGCACACTCCCCGCCCGCGCCCGCCGCCCTTCACCTGCCGCGACACAGGGCTCCGGTGTCCGCCCTCACTGTACTTCACCCTGCACTGTTCTCTGTACTCACTAACGGTAACATCGACTAGTATATTTCTGTTTTATGTTATTAAAAAAATCTCATGTACATACATACATAAGAAACTTTAATACATATATTACGCAAAAACTATCACATCGATTTCAAAGAAATAATTATATGTTTTATGAAAAAAATAAATGTTCAAAAATAAATCATTAAACAGTGAACTTGTAGTTAGTTAGAAGTCTGGTAATATAAATTTATTAAACGTTACCATGAATACTGAATCATTGTTCATATTTATTCCAGCGGAGGACCCGTGTAAGTTGACAGACGGTCGTGAGTCGTGTGACCCCAGCGCCCTGTGTGTCCGGACAGGCCTCAAGGAGGGGGAGGCGCGGGCCTGTCTGTGTCCGGATGGACTGCAACCAACCACTGACGTTAACGACGTAAATATATCAACATTACGAAATTATTGTCTTACATATACCATTTCTCTTAAATGCGATTATTAAAAACTAACAAAGACGGTCTGAAGCTGAATGTTATTATGTTAAATAACCTTCAAAACAGGTGTCATTTAACAATATTAATAATAATAATAAACATTTATTGGTTCAAAGATTACACCAGTACAAAATAAATACAAACAACAAAATAAAAACAGAGTGAAACTTAACCTATGTATACAAAAAAGGAAAATAAAATAACATAACAACTACAACAGGACAAATATTAATGTTAAAAATCAATAACAATAATAATAAGTGTGCAGCATTACACATCTAACCAAAAGGAGAACCACTCAGTAAAAAAATAGAAGCAATGTTGCTTCTACACTGATTTTCAGTGATCTCCTAATGTTGAGGTACTGACAGTTGTAACAATTACATTAAAGTAACATTGTTAAATTTAAAAATAACAATACAGATAAAATAATATAAAATATTAAAATAAATTTACGTATTATATCGTCTGTTCTACCTGTTCTTCCTCCAGGACGTGTTACGCTGCGTGTTGTCCGTGTCTCCGCCCTCCCCCGCCTGCTCCCTCCCCTGTTCCCCAGGCGTGTGCGTGGTGCTGGGCGGCCAGGCAGCATGCTCGTGTCCCGCGCTGTTCTCCGGCTCGCTGTGTCAGCACTACCGCTGCGTGGACCACTGCGGACCACACGCGCGCTGCCACGTGCTGCCCGAGAACGACCACGACCACGTCGGCGATCATGACCTACCGCCGCTGACTGTATGATATAGACTACATATAGAATATATATATCTTTATACATATATATAATTCTTCTGTGAGTGTGTATGTCACTGAACTTCTCTCAAACGACTGGACCGATTTTGAAAAATTTTTTGTGCGTGTTCAAGGGGATCTGGGAATGGTTTAGATTCACAATTTTGTCCGCTGGAAAATGGTTTTTTAATTAATTTTTAATTTATTAGTAGTTGTTGATTCAAACGTTTTTTTTGACATTAGATTTGACAACTAACTAATATGTCAATCATTCTGTCGCACTTCAAAACACGGAGATTTATGGGTTTAATATGTAAACTCCAAAAATATAAATAAAAAACGTAACAGATATTTCTTGATTATAGGGCGATCGAAGTTCGCCGGGTCTTCTAGTATATAGTAATAAATACTGTTAGTATAACTAGCATATTGTTCCAGTGTACGTGTTACCCCGGCTGGACCGGAGAGAGATGTGACAGACAGGTAGAGGCGAGTGACACGCGTGACAATGAAGCGCATACCGATGACACGAGACACGAAAACCGGGGCGGGACACACGGGACACAGGATGAGTGCTCGAGGTGTGAGAACGGAGCCTCCTGCGAGAGGGGGCCGGCCGGCGTCACGTGTCACTGTACATCACAATATACCGGTAATATAAACTTTACTTAACAAACCAGATTCGAACCTACGATATACCTATTACACATTTGATTTTCGCGACTTAATTTTTGATTTCCTTGTATTTATTTCACTCAATATACAATTGATTCAACAGATGATATTTTAAATAGTTGATGAATAACGTAAATTAAGTTCTAGCGCCATCATTGGATGAATATCGACGGATTAATAATTAGTTATCAACCTATAACTACATATGACGTCCCTGTGTGTCCCAGGTCCCCGCTGTACGGAGTGCGCCAGCGGAGCCCCGGGCGCTGCGTGTCGACAAAGAGAGGCCGAGCTGTGTAGAGACTACTGCTACAATAATGTTAGTACTGACCGCTCCTACTGCACTTGTATTGAGGACACTAGAATTATATGTGATACATACAAGTTATGAGTAAATTTTCTGAGTTTCATCATCATCATCAGCCTATAAGAATTTAAGAACCCACTGTTTAGCTAAGGCCTCTTCTCACATGGAGAAAGTTAAAGTATTAACCACTATGCCTGCTCAAGACGGGTTGGCGATTTCAAACTTATCTATACTAATATTATAAAGCTGAAGAGTTTGTTTGTTTGAAAGATCTAATCTCCGAAATTACTGGTTCGAATTGTAATTTGATATAAGTCGAGGTTTCCTCACGATGTTTTCCTTCATTTGTCAGTGGTGTCTAAATATTCTTATAAGGTACATATGACTCAGAAAAATCACCTTGGTACTTGCCAAATTTCGAACCAGGGCTCTCATGCGTGAGAGGTATACTTTTAACTACTAGGCCACCACGACTTAACATTTTATATAAAGCTAGTATATAATATGTATGTGTTTTCTTCGGTCAGGGTTCGTGTTCCCTGTCAGCGGGCTCGGTGGCGGGCGAGCGTGTGGCGCAGTGTGTGTGTGAGGCGGGCTGGAGCGGCGCGCGGTGTGAACTGAGGGGCGAGGGGGCTGCGGGGACGGCTGGTGAGTACACACACACACACACTATAGAGCGTTTGATTTAAGCTGAGCTTTGTATTTATGTGAGTGCACACGAATAGTGTAGGTGTGATGTCAAATTTATGAATGCCACATTCTTTTCTAGTTTTAAACCGGTTTATTCTGTTTTTACTCCGCCCCGCACCTTCCTCACGTCACCCTTTGTACTAATAGCAACTTCAGATGTTGAAAACGTAATGTTAAGTGAAGAAAAATTTGTATTGTTTGTCAAAATTTTTATTACTTAATTTTTTTTTCCATAGTATTTCCATTTAGCCTTTTACATGTTTCGCTTATTTTATTTTTAATCTAAAATAACTCTCGCATTTATTTTATGTATCTATTTAAATATAATAAAATTGAATTTCAAAAATTTTTTGTCAAACTCTACTTTTACTTTCACTCACAAAAATACAAAGCTCAGCTTAAGTCTAACGGACTATACCAAAGTCTAAATTGTTTTCGTGGTGTTGTTTGTTAAACCTAAACAGCTTTTAATGAAGGAGCCGAATGTATGTATGTATAAATCATAGGAAACACTTTGACGTATTTTAGCAGCTTATTGGGTATATAGTACTTTTTGGGCATTTGATAAGCAAAAATTTGGTATACACTGTTTTAACACTATACTGAGTTACTGGAGAGGTCTTTCAATTCTATATTTATTTTATAGATAGGTCAACGACATTGAGTTAAAAAGAGCAAAAAAAACTGAAATTTTAACTCAACACCAACGGAAGCATTGTTTTTTTTTTTATAATTTTTATATAGTCTTGCATGTATGAATAAAAATCAAGAAGAAAAGATCACAATAAAATAAAACGGAAAAATATATTTTTTTAAATAGCCCAAATAATAAGCTATTATAAATTGGACCTCTCCTCCTTCACGACGGTTAAAATACATATACGTTATACATTTTCTTCTTTTACCTGGCAATTCCCAGCTTTAGCCAGAGAATATATATAGCAAGGGTCTGCCTTACACGTTGTGAATAGATTTGGCTAATTGTTATTACGACCGGCCGCCTGCCTGACATCAACCCTCTTTGGGATATACATATATGTACATCTTTATACATATTGTATATATAATTCTTGTGTGAGTGTGTATGTCACTGAACTTCTCTCAAACGACTGGACCAAATTTGATGAAATTTTTGTGTTTTGATTCACAATTTCTTTAAATGTTTTTTTAACTAATTTTATAATTTATTAGTAGTTGTTGATACAAACGTTTTTTTGACATTAGATTTGACAACTAACTAATATGTCAATCATTCTGTCGCACTTCAAAACACGAAGATTTATGGCTTTAATAGGTAAACTCCAAAAATATAAATAAAAAAACGTAAAAGACATTTCTTGATAATAGGGCGATACGAAGTTCGCCGGGTCTTCTAGTATTATATAAAAAGTTAAAATCACTTTCTACTTGACACTACAGCTCAATCAGTAAAGCATCTTTGACCGTACATAGTAATCGTAGGTTCGAATCCAGTACGTAATTTACCTCATTATTTATAATGTGTTTACTTTATGTGTAAACGAAAGTTTTTTTTGTATTATTTATTTCGTAAACACTCGTATCGTGACGTCACTATGTCGTCTCAATATATTTCTACAATCTTTAAACACAATACTAATCTACAGAATTTCCAAATCAATATACGTTGAGGATAATTCGTTTGACGCTATTGGTATTTAATATCAACAGGAAAAACATAAGATCTTATTAGTTATCACATAATTTTTCGTACATAGATTTAGCCTTCGATAGTAACGGGATTCATACATTTATATTATGTAATATGTTACAAATACTTTGCATATAACTGTTTCACATAACATTATTATGTTAATTACAATAATATATAAAACAAAAGACTTGCGTCCGTTTGTAGAAAGTTGTGTATATATATGTATTAATGTGTCTTAAATGATAAATTTTATATCTCCAACGAACTAGCTGCAGTTAAAAGACGTTTAGTACGAGTTTTCGTACTCCTAGTTACACACGCAATGTGTCCCGTTTCTCATTAAATAACATTAATATTAAAATGTGCGAATTTTTATGAATGAAATACTGCACACATTCCGTATTTATTGTGAGTATTGAAACTTATGGTTGTAATTCAGAAATCTATAGAAGCTATACAGGGTGACTGGTGAATTACTATTGATATTTCAGGACGTGATATTTGACGATCATATATGACGAAATAAAAATTAATATAACATAAATATTAATAAACTTCTAAGTAAAGTTAACCAAAAGTTATGTAATTAATTACGCATCGTGTAAACACCCTACAGATTAGGTATACACACACACACACACACACATACGCGCGCGGCGGCGTGTTGTTGTATCAGCACGCCACCGCACGCGTCCTCACTAGGAACACTTGGAAAGTGTACACACTTTATTTATTTATACGGAAATTTGGTCAAAAATTAAGTACCTATTTTTTTTACATAATTCGAATGAGAATCATGTACCGAGTATGCTCCTTAAATATTGATAGTAATTCACCAGTCACCCTGTATAAAGATACATACTTGGCTCTCGGTACGTTTTAGTCTACCTTAAAAATTACTTACAAAAATATATTATTTAGTTTAGTTGTAAATAATAAATATTAGTAAGGTGCTCTATACACAGATAAACGAGAATTTATCTTCCATGTCGTAATATCAAAGGTTTCCTCATTATTTCGCCAACATACATATACATTGAGATCATTGTACCTTGTTCATGTAAATTTAGAATTCAATCCTAATTAAAATTCTAATCTAAAATATAAAATCAAAAATTCATAGACACGAACAGGTCAATGACATCTTTTAAACGTAAAGCCACAAAAAATATTCACTTGTATTTAAAATTAAACTTTATAGATGTCGCCACTGTTGTATATGAATCTTCTATATATATAAAAATGGATTGCTGTTCCTTAGTCTCGCTAAAACTCGAGAACGGCTGAACCGATTGGGCTAATTTTAGTCTTGAAATACTCCTGGAAGTCCAGGGAAGGTTTAAAAGGTGAGAAAAATTGGAATGATTGCCGGGAAAACCCTAAAAACAGCCCTTTTCTATTTCCCATACAAATGTTTTTTTGACATTAGATTTGACAACTAACTAAAATGTCAATCTTTCTGTTTGATTGAAACAGGAAAAACCTGATTATTTATGGCCTCTACGACGGAATAGAGTTCGCCTGGTCAGCTATACCTACATATATTACTCTTGACCAAACTAACGCGGACGAAGTCGCGGGCAAAAACTAGTATTAAATAAAATATGTATCATTAACGGACTTGAGTCAGGACACGATAGCTTAGACGGTAAAGTCGCTGAGAGGTAATAACCCGAGGTCGCAGGTTCAAATCCAATAATATAAGTACATAAAATTTCGTTTAACCAAGTTGTTCTCGTCACTGAGATGAAGACTGTGACTATTAACGTCACGTAACACGTTAGACGATTTACTGTATAGTATAGTTAACAATGAAATACTAATTCATAACATTTTAACTTTTTCATTTCATATATGTATATCTTCTAGATCTTCTACCTGGCAATTTCTCAGCTTTAGCCAGGGTCTGTCTTACATGTTTTGAATAGTTTTGGTTAATTGTTTTTACGACTGACATCAACCCTCTTTGGGAATGCATTAATCAGTGATGTCTAAATACTCTTAGAAAATACATATGACTCGGAAAAATCACATTGCTACTTGCCAGGATCGAACTCGCGCCCTCGGCAACGAGAGACGAGCCTTTTAACCACTAGGCCACCACTGACTGTTTCAATTTAATAATAGAATACTATTACGATATCAACATTTTTCTGGATTCTACGAAAAGAATATTAAATTTAAATAATAACTTTCCATGAATGCCAAATAATGTGCAAAGAACTGTTAAGATATATTGTAATGCAAAAAAATATGACTACAAATACAAATATAACTAAATTTCCTTTCGTCAAACAGTCAGTAACAAACTTCCTCTTATATAAATAAATATGTAGAAGTATTCTCAAGTTTATACAAACAATTTTTATTATATGCCCTTGACCTTCATGCAAAAAAATGACCAATTCATTACAACAAGATTCGAAGCTGCGACTCAAAGCAATATCTTAGCTCACTTACCAAAATGATATAAATATATATAATTCATAATAATATTATTAATGCGAAAGTAACTCTGTCTGTCTGTTACGCTTTCACGCCTAAACCACTGAACTGATTTTAATGAAATTTGGTACAGACATAGAGTTGACCTTGAGAAGGAACACAATAGTTTTTATCCCAGACTTTTGAAAAGTTTCTTGGAGACGCGATATAACCGAACTCCACGCGGGCGAAACTGCGGGCGGAGGGCTAGTTCATAATAATTTTAATCTTAATACATAACATTATGTATTTCAAGTATATAAGGTAAATTAATTTAAAAATTTAAAGACCATTCATGCAATATTTACGGTTATATTCGATACATATTGGGCCTTGAACATCACACTGTACATTAACAAATTCACACTTTGAATTTATTTGTTATGTACACACATACCTACATATAAACATATATCAAGTTTACCTAAGTAAAATATGAAAGACATTAAATAATAAATTTAGCGATTTTACAATTATTTGAATGGTTCTATGAAAAAAAATATATCATCACCATCAGCCTATCAGACGCCCACTGCTGAGAGGCCTCTTCTCACATGGAGAAGGTTTGAGCATTAATCACCACACTTGCTCAAGACGGCTTGGTGATTTCAAACTTATAATTTGATATTACATTTTACTTAATTACATATAAAATTAAATAAATTTTAATAATATAAAATACTTCATTATAAATAATATTTGACAAAAAATGTACTCTTCTTTAAATATTAATTTAATTAAGGAAACAAATCAAAATTAAAAGTTCAAATTCATACTATCGGTTTTTCAGTTAGGCGATGTA